TTTGGTGGTGTGGGCCATTTCAGAAGGACGTCAAGCTGCATCTCAGGTCGACAGATTCCTCAGCAACTCCGAGGACGACCAAGGCGCCAAGCTACGACAAAACCTCAACCAGGTGAAGCACGACTCTAAGAAGAATTAAGAGAAAGAGAAAGCCTTTTACCATCTGAAGCCAAAAGTCGAGAGGAGACGACGATTATGCTCTTAGGAGGCGAAAAGGACCGACTTATGGCAGAGATGGAGGTTGCAGAGGAATTGTTATGGTTTAGAAGAGAGAAGGAGAAAGCTTAGGTTGTTTATTTATCGTCCATAGTAATAATATGATTGATAAGTACATTTTTATGGTAGGCTTTTTTGGTTAGCTATCTTTTGTTAATGCTTTCTGAATTCAAAGCCTTTTGTTTTTTTCTATGGCTGTTTTGTTGGTTTGAAACTTTGAATTTTAAGGAATGGTAATGCATAGTTCCTGGTTCTCATCTTTTTCTTGCTTGGGTTTTTTTGGCTCTTCGTGTTATAATGGTTGGAAGAATCAAGAAATTTTCGACATTTCAAGAAATCACGACTTGCATCATAAATTTTGGGGGATTATTATTGAAAAACTCTTCTTAGAATGCACAAGATTGAGAAAAAAACGACCGAGAGATGCATTCTAATGGTTTTTGTAGTTTTGTACTATTGAAGAATGTACACAACCAAAAACATTCTAAGAAACTAGAACTGTTGTGAATCAATTTTCTCGTAATTTCATATATATAGTGGTACAAAGATTTAGTGACTAAGTTATCAAATGACTAGAGGAAATGAATCACACATGTCTCTTGAGAACATTTACACTTGCATACATAGAAGATTAGTGGCATATACTTGGTGATCAACCACCTATGCCAAGTGACCATGATGGGAATGTATTCTTAAGGAGAAAGTAATGTATTAATCACATAGTTCTCATTTGTTTTATAACACTCCCCCTTGATTAATCATTACTGAGTCAAGAGTCGTGTACCGTCTCGTTAAAAAACCTAATCATGATAAAAACCCGTTTGGGACAAAAATCATGATGAGGAAAAACAGTACGGTAACACTCCCCTTAAGTGTCCATCATTAGTCATTGTGAATTTGCTTACGGCCTCGTTAAAACCTTATCATGAAAAACCCAATGGAATAAAAATCATGAGAAGGAAAAAGAGTACCGTGATGCAAACTCCCCTGGAAAAAGAGTGTATTCTTTTCTTCATAGATCTTGTAGATGACGCATTCATGTTCTTTGAATATGCTTCATGAACGTCGTGGTTGAAAACTCCTTTAGAAAAAGATCTTATGTGTTGTTGCCTCTTGATATAGTCTTCTTTAACTTTTGTGGCACAAGTGGCATTGTCTTCAGATCTTCTGTTTGCTCTTTGTTGGAGACTCTTATGATTTCTGCTTGTATGTGCTGAGTTACAACTCTAAACCACAACAAAATTTCTATAATAATATAATCTAATGACAATCATACCTTGGATCTGAATCGTGAGTTTTATGATCGACAGAAACAAAATCAGATACATTCTTTACTCAATATGAGTTGATATATCTTTATATCATTAAGTAATCTAAATAGATATGATGTCACTAATCTATCATGTACTTCTTAAACTTTAACATGCCGTTAGGCTCATTAAGTACATGATGTGACTATATATATAATCGGGGAATGTGTTTCTACACAATCAATTCCCTGACTTTGAGAAAAACCTTGTAAAACAAGTTGAGTTTTATACTTTGTGATCTTGTTTTTCTCATATCTTTTTCATACAAAATTAATTTGTACATGGCTAGCATTACATTTATAAGTGTAATGGCTCTAGGTCCAAAAACATTTCTTTCACTATGGGAGAATATTTTATATCTCATGTCATTTCCATTTCTCATAGTCAGGCCTTTTCTGGCACTCTGACATGGACCTAAAGTCTAGATCATTTTCAAGATTGATCTCTTTGGATACATTAAGAGAGAACATTCATCATTATTTTAAATTCATAATATTGGCTTTGCGCAAAGCTGATGGAAAATCTCATATCTTTTATGATCCAGATTCATCTTCTAGATGAATTTCTCTATATAGTTCTTTTAGAACTCTTTCACATATGTCATCTTGACATTTGTTTGTATATGGTTTCTCTAAAACCTTTTTCACCCAATTTCTTTCTCTGTTGGAGATTTCTATATTTTGATCCTATATGCCTCCCGCGCTTCAATTGAACCGGTTCATTTGCTTTACTTACATCAATATGTTCTTCAAGAACTTTTCTCTTTGATGGAGCATTAGCAGCGGGGCTATAGGACTTTGCCACTCTTCTTATATTTGTGAACATACCATGTAACTGGTTTGCTTAACTTTGCAAATATATAATTTACTGAACTTCCACTTCACGTTGTAGGAGGATCAAGATAGCCAAAGAGTGTTTACACTATGTGATATCATTTGGTGATTCTCTCAATCCTCCCCCTTAACACGGGGAATTCACTTTCATCGAAATGTTCACTTCTTACTCACGCTAAGTAGTAGGAGAATTGAGATAGCCAAAGAGTGTATACACCAAGTGCTATCATTTGGTGATTCTCTCAATTCTTCCCCTAATGCGGAGAACTTACTTTCGTTTATCGGCAGACTTTGCCATGAACATAACACCAGTTACTTGTTCAACTGCTTCAATTTATTTGGTGACAAACGCTTAACATATATTCACTGTTAACTATATAGGGGAATATTCTTTTATATGCACTTGGTCGCTCCTGGACCAATGCTCAATATACAACTTAACATTTCCCCATACAGTGAATTCACAAGCGTTATCAAGCCTTACTTTCTTTATGGCATAATCAGGGAAGTGGACTCTCAACCTGATGATCTGGGCAATGAATCTTGCGAAAGCCATATTCTTTGTGGTCAAAAGACACACATGTGACCATCTACTAGATGTGTCAACTAAAACCATAAAACATCTAAATGGCTCGCACTGTGGGTTAATCTGCCCACTTATATCATCATGTATTCTTTCTAAGAATTACAAGAGATTCATTCCCAACTTTGATGAGCAAGTGCCTACTTATGAGTTTTCTTTAATAAAATACACTATGAAAACTTTCCATATTGAAAAATCTTCTAGTTTTTCAATAGGTGGCCACTTGATTTCCGCTCAATCATTCTCATAGAGAAATAGATTAGGGTGACTTAACTTTTCATGTCACACTCTAAAAATGCTAGTAAACTTCTGGTTTACTGCAACATAAGATTCAATCTTATTTATCTTTGTATACCACAATCAGAGGACATAAATGTCAACTCTTTCAATACATGTTTTCTTTGCTGTAATACAAATTTATTCAATGCCACTCTTATTCATAGTCTCTATATGATATTTCTACGAATATCCTTGAAACTTAACAAGTTTCTTTGAGACTTGGAGCAATATAATGCATCTAGCATTTCAAATTTCCTCCCCTTAGCATTGAATAACTAACATGTACAAATTTGGTATAATTTTTTTTTATTACCAAATATATGGCTCACGCTTCTTGCGGAGACTTTTAGTTTGAGACAGAAATATACTTTCTTATCTTTAAGATATTGTATAATCATAGCACTATATGCTAGATATATATTTACCTTCCAAATCTCAAATTTGCGACATCATGAATTTGGGGAGGAGACAAAGCCTTCTACTCAACCACAAGGAGGAGGTTTTTACTATCAACTCCAAAGGAGGATTTACCTACCACTCCAAATATATATTGATTCGAGGAGACATAGTCTACCATATGATCATATGGTAATCGTCAAAGGCAAAGCCAACAAAAGACGATTTGGTTGGGGAAGGCAGAGCCTATCTACCCAATAATAAATTGGAGAACACATTGCCTACCATGAATCGGAGAAGGTTATAACCTTTCACTCCATACATAATAATATTAAACATAATTATGTGAACCAAAATTTAAATAGGGAGGAGGGAGAACCTACCACTCCAATAGTAATATATAAATTTAGATTAATTTAACAAAGATTAGATATTACCTCTCAATTGTATGAATGAATGAAAATCACTACATGTGATTTTATATGCACCAATGAACGGGTAGAGAAACGATCATACTTAGGATATCTTGATGGCTCAACGGATAGAGACGATTGTGATGGCTCAATGGATAGAGACGACCGTGATGACTCAACGGATAGAGAATCGTGCTGATAACGTGTTGTGAATAAATATCTCTTGTGTATAAACCATACTCTAATAATATGTATGTGTTTATGTGTTTAAGATGTGTATATAATACACAAGAGATAATGATCAAAGAGAGTTAAAAGGAAGAAAAAGAGATGAACAAAGAGGAAGAAAGAATGAACAAGAGTTTATAGAAAGAGTTTCATTCATGGTTTCTCTCATACAATTACAACAACTCTCTTCTCTACACATCTCTTCTTATCCACACTTCTCTCACTTTACAAGTGATGAAATTTCATGTATATATAGTGGTACAAAGACTTGGTGACTAAGTTATCAAATGACTAGGGGAAATGAATTCACACATATCTTCTTGAGAATATTGACATTTGCATACATAGAAGATTAGTGGCATATACTTGGTGATCAACCATGCCAAGTGTCCATGATAAGAATATATCTTTAAGGAAAAAGTAATGTATTAATCACATAATTCTCATTTGTTTTATAACAAAAAATTTATAACTGAAACCAAACAATTTAAGGTTCTTGGTCATCCTCTGTCGTTTTGTGTTCAACAAAAGAAGAAAAAAGGCCCAAAAGAGAGAGAAGAAAGGGAGTAAAAAATTGATTAGAATTTTGTCTGAGTGAAGCGGTGAAAACAAGAGAAAAAAAGCTGCTTCCTTTTTGTTTCTTGAGATGCGTTCTCTGTGACCCTTCTTTGATTTCTTAAGGGTTCTTCAATCAGATTTCTCAATTTCCTCTTCTTTATTCTGGATTTTCCGATTTGGGGAAATGGTTGATTGGTATCAGCTAGCTCAGTCGATTATCTTGGGTTTGATCTTCGCTTACCTTCTAGCTAAGCTAATCTCCATCCTCGTCGCGTTTAAAGACGAAAACCTCTCCCTCACTCGCAACCACGAGACCGAATCAGACTATGGCTTGCGAAAGGTCGAATCTTCAACCGGAATTGGCGGCGAGACGGATTCTCTTATAGCAGAGCAAGGCAGCTTGAGAGGTGACGATGACGAGGACGATGAAGACGATGAGGACGACGATTGGGAAGGTGTAGAAAGTACAGAACTTGACGAAGCATTCAGTGCCGCGACGGCCTTTGTAGCTGCTGCTGCATCGGACCGGCTTTCGCAGAAAGTGTCAAACGAATTGCAACTTCAGCTTTACGGATTGTATAAGATTGCTACTGAAGGACCTTGTACTGCTCCACAACCATCAGCTCTTAAAATGACTGCTCGTGCTAAGTGGTTTGTCTCTCTCTCTCTCTCTCGCTTGATTCTCTTGTGCTCTGATTTGATATAATATGATACGAAAGTGTTTTTGACTGTAAAGATGATTGCTTTACTTGAGAAGTAACTGATGTTTATGTCACCAAGTCCACAACTTTATTTTACATAAATATCAAAAAGGATTGCTTTTGTTGTTGTTTTGATTGACTGAGACTTGTCATCATGATATCATTGTGTTTAGGCAAGCGTGGCAGAAACTGGGTGCTATGCCTCCAGAGGAAGCAATGGAGAAGTATATCGATCTTGTTACTCAGCTGTACCCAGCTTGGGTCCAAGGTGGCTCGGTACTTAGTCTTTTTAACCACTCATTGCGTTTGGTGTGTTTATGAATGATCTGTTTCCTTTCTTAAAACCCAAATCTTGATTCTTGGATTGTTTGCTTTCTTGTGACGTTTAGAAAGGAAGATCTCGTAGCAGCGGTGATGCTGCAGGCTCCTCCAACTCGAGAGCAGCCATGGGACCGGTGTTTAGCTCATTGGTGTACGAAGAAGACGCCGAAAATGACTTGTAAGGCTCTTAGCAATTAGCTATTAGCTGCACAACTTTGAACCTACCAATAATGATGGGAGAAACCTTTGGACTATATCATTTAGCTTTTGCAGAAGCTATGTTCATTATTGTTATTTTGTTAATGTCATGTTCATGTTTCAGGAAGATTGATGCTATTCACGCCTATGCAAGAGAAGGAGAAGTGGAAAATCTACTGAAATGCATAGAAAATGGCATACCAGTAAACGCAAGAGGTACTTAAGTCTCCACTTGTCATTCTCACAGATGTTTTTGTGTTACTTTGTGAATTTTCACATCTTGCAATAATTTTCAGACAGTGAAGGTCGAACACCGTTGCATTGGGCTATAGACCGAGGCCACATGAATGTTGCTGAAGCTCTGCTTGATAAGAACGCCGATGTTAATGCTAAAGTAAATACAAAAACCATAAACCAACTCTTTTCGCTCGGATAGTGTCTTCTTGCTGACAAACTTTGTTTTGTGTTTGTGTAGGATAATGAAGGCCAAACCTCTCTGCACTACGCTGTAGTGTGCGAGAGAGAAGCTCTTGCAGAGTTTCTAGTGAAGCAGAAAGCTGATACAAGCATTAAAGATGAAGATGGAAACTCACCTCTTGATCTCTGTGAATCGGAGTGGTCTTGGATGCGAGAGAAGAGTTGATTCCAATTAGTGTTTTTTATGTGTCTCCCAAATTGTGTGTCAGTTCCACAAAAACTCTTTCACAACAGAGATATGCTTTTTTTGACCTTTTTCTTCTGTTTGAGCAAAGAATCTTTACTTCCTCAAGTCTTTATCTTTCTCATTGCATATAGTAATCACTAGTTTTACTATCTTGAAAACCAGAGAAGATCATCATATATAATCCAATAAAGAGTTAGTTTTTTTTTTTTTTTCTGCTTTGACAGCAAACTAAATAACTTTCCTATGATTTTCTCTCTGGCTTGTGGCCCTTTATGTTTTTCAGCCCTTTGTAAATCATACTGTAAAATAATTTTGTATACTTAAGTATCGTATTGGCAAAAAATGTATTATTTTTCATTTAAACCTTCTTTTGTACCTTAAAACAATCTCGACCGTTGGTTTTTAAGCGATGTGAGGAAAAATGGAAACGACTGAGAATATTTTGGTGGGGTCAGATAAGGACCACGCAACACGCGATGTACCACATCAGATAAAAATTCTTCCGGTAATTAGAAAATTAATTAGATATATACTTAACTTAACAAACCCTAAATAATCTTCAGAAACCATTTGAATATACAAAATTTCGAAAATCATAATAGTAGCCGTCACCCAAAAAAAAGGAAAAAAAGATTAAAATATTGTTTATTTTTTTAAATATAATTTAAGCCCATCTTGACATCCAAATCTTCCTTCTCTCACCACCTCTATCTCTTTCTCTCTCTTCCCTTTTTCGCTGGAACTGTTTTCTCTCTCTCTCCGTTCTGGGCTTCTAGGGTTTGTCTCTCAGTCCCCGATTCCCGCTTTCTCCGATCGGCGCCGCCGAGATTCTAGGTATTCTTCTTCACTTCATCTATTCGTCATGCTTGAATTAGATCCATCCTCGGATTCACTAGTTCCGAATTCGGTTTTCTAGTTTCGATCTAGAATCGTTCAATCATCGATTCTGATTTCTGTTTCGATTTGTCTACTGCTTTAAGATTTGAACTCGTTCGACTTTGCTTTTTAGTTTGTTTTATCTATTAATCTGCTCCGAGTAGCTAGTTGATTTGGTCTTCTTAGTCTGTTGAATTTTCAATTTCGTTTCATCTTACTTTCGATTCCTTGCTCGGATCTATTCTCTTCTCTTCACTATTTGTATCGACTTTGATCGTCTTTTGATGTCTCGTGTATTGATGTTTCCTTGATCCATAGCGTTGTCTCGTGTAAGTTTAGGCGGCGGCTATAGTGTTGATTTTAAAAAGCCTGTTCGTGTTGTTGCTTTCACCTAAAGTTGCTGTGATCTGATGTTTTGATTTACTTATTTTGTCATAGTTTCGTGTTGTTTGATTTTGTTTCGAGTTTTCTTATTTTTTCTGCGGAATTTGAACTAGGAGAAGAGTCTTTTCCAGGTTTTCTAACTCTAATCTGTTGAATGTTTTCTCTTGCAGATAAACTTATTGGCAATGGAGGTTACGCAGTTGCTCATAAATGCTCAGTCGATTGATGGAACTGTGCGTAAGCACGCTGAAGAAAGTCTCAAACAGTTTCAAGAGCAGAACCTTGCAGGGTTTTTGCTGTCACTCGCTGGAGAGCTTGCAAACGACGAGAAGCCAGTAGATAGCAGGAAATTAGCCGGTCTAGTGTTAAAAAACGCTCTTGATGCTAAGGAGCAGCACAGGAAGTTTGAGCTTGTTCAGAGATGGCTGTCTCTAGACATGTCAACAAAGTCTCAGATCAGAGCATTCTTGCTGAAGACACTCTCCTCTCCTGTGCCCGACGTTCGTTCAACTGCATCTCAGGTTATCGCCAAGGTTGCAGGTATTGAGCTGCCACAGAAGCAGTGGCCTGAGCTCATTGGATCTCTTCTCTCGAATATTCACCAGTTGCCTGCTCATGTCAAGCAAGCCACTTTGGAGACTCTTGGGTACCTCTGTGAAGAAGTTTCACCTGATGTCGTAGAACAGGAGCATGTAAATAAGATACTCACGGCTGTTGTTCAGGGTATGAACGCTGCTGAAGGAAACAACGATGTTAGGCTTGCTGCAACCCGTGCTTTATACATGGCTCTGGGATTTGCACAGGCAAATTTCAACAACGACATGGAGAGGGATTATATCATGAGAGTTGTGTGTGAAGCGACCCTGTCCCCTGAGGTGAAGATTAGGCAGGCGGCTTTTGAGTGTTTGGTGTCAATAGCTTCTACATACTATGAGAAGTTGGCGCATTACATGCAAGATATATTCAACATCACGGCAAAGGCTGTACGAGAAGATGATGAGTCTGTTGCTCTACAGGCGATTGAGTTCTGGAGTTCTATTTGTGACGAGGAGATTGACATCTTGGAAGAGTATGGGGGTGAGTTCACCGGGGAGTCTGATGTTCCATGCTTCTATTTCACGAAGCAGGCTCTCCCTGCGCTTGTGCCTCTTTTGTTGGAGACTCTTCTTAAGCAAGAGGAAGATCAGGATTTGGATGAAGGGGCTTGGAACATAGCCATGGCTGGTGGGACATGCCTCGGTTTGGTTGCTAGGGCAGTTGGAGACGACATTGTGCCACATGTCATGCCGTTCATTCAAGAGAAAATATCAAAGCCTGACTGGAGAGAGCGGGAAGCTGCAACTTATGCGTTTGGTTCCATACTGGAGGGCCCTTCTCCAGTCAAGTTGATGGACATTGTTAACGCAGCGTTAACATTCATGCTCAATGCTTTGATGAAGGACCCAAACAACCATGTGAAGGACACAACTGCATGGACACTTGGTAGGATATTTGAGTTCCTTCATGGCTCATCAATCGAGAAACCGATAATCACCAAGGCGAACTGCCAGCAGATCATCACGGTACTGATCCAGGCCATGAAAGATGCACCTAATGTTGCAGAGAAAGCTTGTGGGGCACTATACTTCCTTGCCCAGGGCTATGAGGATGTCGGTATCGATTCTCCGTTAACACCCTTCTTTGAGGAAATCATTGCTTCCCTTCTATTTGTCGCCAACAGAGAGGATGCAACTGAGTCACGCTTGCGTACTGCAGCGTATGAGGCTTTGAATGAAGTTGTAAGGTGTTCATCTGATGAAACATCAGCCATGGTTCTGCAGTTGGCTCCTAGGATAATGCTGGAGCTTCACAATACTTTTGTGGAAGGGGAAAAGCTTTCGTTGGACGAGAGGGAGAAGCAAAACGAGCTTCAGGGGCTTTTATGTGGATGCTTGCAGGTCATCACACAGAAAGTGGGATCTGAACCAACCAAGTATGTTTTCATGCAGTACGCAGATCAAATGATGGAGCTTTTCCTGAGGGTGTTTGGCTGCAGAAGCGCAACCGCGCACGAGGAGGCCATGCTCGCCATTGGTGCTCTCGCTTACGCAGCAGGTCCAGATTTCGCCAAGTACATGCCTCAGTTCTACAAGTACTTGGAAATGGGACTTCAAAACTTTGAAGAATACCAAGTCTGTGCTGTCACTGTGGGTGTTGTTGGGGACGTCTGCAGAGCATTGGAGGACAAGATTTTGCCTTACTGCGACGGAATCATGACGCAGCTTCTGAAGGACTTGTCGAGCAACCAGCTCCACCGGTCGGTGAAGCCGCCGATATTCTCCTGCTTTGGCGACATTGCACTCGCAATCGGGGAGAATTTCGAGAAGTACTTCAACTACTCGATGCCCATGCTTCAGAGCGCGGCGGAGTTATCTGCTCACTCGTCTGGAGCTGACGATGAGATGACGGAGTACACAAACTCGTTGAGAAACGGGATCCTCGAGGCTTACTCTGGGATATTCCAAGGGTTCAAGAACTCTCCCAGAACCCAGCTCCTGATTCCTTACGCACCACACATCCTCCAGTTTTTGGACAGCATTTACATGGAGAAAGACATGTAAGTTTTGTGAATTTTATGTTTAATCATTGCATATAGAAACCATTATATATGATTTGCTGATAAATGTGGTGATGTGTGTTGACAGGGACGAGGTGGTGATGAAGACAGCGATTGGGGTGTTGGGGGATTTAGCGGATACACTAGGGAGTCATGTGGGTGGTCTGATAACACAGTCAGTGTCGAGTAAAGACTTCTTAAACGAGTGTTTGTCCTCTGATGACCACACGATTAAAGAAGCAGCCGAATGGGCCAAGCACGCCATTACCCGTGCCATATCTGTTTGAAGGCTCTCTCTTTCTTTTTTTGCCTTAACCGGAGAAAAAAAGAGAGAAAATTTCCATTTGCTTTTTTTAGTAAAGTCTGCATGCATCTCTGGGTCTGGGTGGGGTTTGAGTCGGGGGAGAGGGTAGAGAGCTGCAACAGCCGAGTCCGCATCAGCATCATCATCATCATCAGTTTCATTTGCATCATCATCATCAAGCATTACCGGGTCAGTCACAGGGGAATCGTTGAGTCTATGAGGGAATGATGAGTTTTGGGTAAATAATGAAACTGGAAGAGTCGTCGTCGTCGCGGGTGAAACCTTTGCCCTGGGGGAGGGAAAGCCCCCGGAGTAAGGAGGAGGAGTCTGGTGGTTTTGGGGCAAAGTTTTTACCGAAAAAAGGGTTTCATTCATCGAACAGTATGGTATAATACATTGGGCAAAATTGTTTTTCTTCTCTCATATGTGTCTTCTTCTTCTCCAAACTACTTGAAGGGGATGGTCTCTTGGGGTTTTTATCAAGCGGGTGGGGCATTATTAGAGAACAATCCCTTGATTTATTTATTTTGTTTTTCTTTGGAGAGAGTATTATTTGGTTTAGTTGCAGTCTTTGCATCCATCATTTTGTCAGTTGTCTTCTTTTGGGGGTTTGTATGTTTGATTACAAAAGCATATTCACATTTTTATTTTTATATAAGAAAAAGTTTCACATGTCTATAATCTCTTTGATGCAGTTAGGTGTTTTGTTTGCGTTTAGCTTATCTATTTACAGGAACATATGTCATGTCTTTATATGGAACAGTTTTTAGATTATTATCATTGATTGGCTCGAACTGCAAGGGAAAGGTCAAATGTTAATAGGAGAAAGTCTTGGCCTTACTCTGCTTCCAAAGAGCAAGTAGAGATGAAGAAGAATGTCTCACGTCATGCCACTTCCAAAAGTTTATGATACCGTTTTTGATTGTTTGTTTTGGTTTTATGTTCAATTTAAACAAATCAAATGCAACAGTTGCAGAACCTATACAAGGCTTATGTTTGAAACAATTTTAGACCATTCAAGTTATGATGGTTTTAATTCTATATTTTTAACGATGTTAACGCATATGGTGGAAAATCTCTAGCGATTTTCTGTCAGTTATGTGTATAAATAGTCCCCAAACATTTTCTGAGACATCTCGATTTTTTTTTCTCTATAATTATTTGTAAATATCTAATGTCAAAGTCACTGGACAAATCTGTTGGGTACTTTAATTTTATTGTGATGACGTAATCATCTAGATTTTAGTCAAATAGACTACTCTATCTTCCATTACAAAAATAATTATTTTTGATAAACAGAGCAAATAGCTAAACATCCAAGAGGAACAGAACATGCCGCTCTGAGAAAGGAACAAAAAAATGGAGTTGAAAAAGATTCTTGATAATTACTCCCTCTGTTTCAGGATATAAGATGTTCTAGGATTTTTTCTTGTTCCATAATATAAGATGTTTTATAAATTTTAAAGTACTTTTTACAAATTTCAAGACCATTAATTAAAAGTAACTCAATTCTTGAATTTCTATTGGTTAATATTTACTAAAAAGTAGTTTGATTGAAAAAATGATGCATTAACTATTAAACAATAATTGCTTCTTAATTTGTATAAAAATTCTATAACATCTTGAACAGAGGGAGTACTTACTAATTTAAAGTGGGCCTTTTTCTCTTGTCAAAAGACTCACGTACACCCAAATTTATATTACAAAAACAATACACTTATTTGGACCGCGACGATTTTCTTCATACCCAAACAATTTCCTTTGTCTGCATGCGTTTGCACTTTAGGCTGAGAGACTTCAATTCTCATAAATTGTTGGAGAGGAAATTACCATGTCAAGAGAATATGATCGATACGATACAATATTTTTACCACAATGTTTTGTCATTTGTGTCTTCAAAATGCAGCCCATTTTGTTTCACTTAGAGTTGTAATTTTTATATAGTTTTGTTATTTTTTTCCCTTGAAAAGTAGGCAATAAATACCCAAAAAAAGATACCACAAAGTGCTTCTTTTGGTTTTGATTGAACATACATATAAATAAATTAAATTGTTAGTTTAAAGGTTGGTTGTGTCGAGATAGCATAGTTTTGGTTAACCGATAGTTATGAGAAGTTATTTATTCCACTAACTCTACTATTGCTGCGACGACTCTTGTCCTTACAATAAACGAAGTACTGCCGAGAGAAGTCATGTTAGGCATTATAACTGTTGAGAGAATAAAATCGTTTTTGGAGAGAAAGCTTATCAATCAATCGGAAAGACGCTTAAAAAGTGACAATAAGTTGATTCCCGTTTGCGCAATCATTTAGTTCAATTTTCCAGCGAATTCCCAACCATTTTTATCACTAAATCGGAATAAAGTGTGTGTTTCAGTTTAACGTTAACTTACTTATTTTCTTCGTAGGGTCTCTTGTTGGTTTCTATTGGCTTAGTAAGCTATATATGGTTAATGTTGTTATTTGTGTTTTCCTAATGTTACCTTCGCCTTTTCTTGTGTGGTGGACACTGGACACAACAAAAGTTAAAACTTAAGACACGTACGTTTTTAATTTAGAAGTTCATTTCTTATGTATTCATGTGTATACATGTGTGTTAATAAAAAAAAATCTTTACAAACAAAAGTTAGGAATGGAAAACTAGCTGCTATATGTAACCATTCATAAGCCGACATTTTTGGGGTAAGAGTTCTTTGGTTATTGGAAATTTAGTAGCATTGTGGATATTAGGTCAAAATACATAATATGATGAGACAAGATCTTTTATTTAGAATTAAGATTTTGGGGATAGTGGTCTCTCACTATAATGGGTCACTTAAAAAGGTGCACTTCTCTGATACATTTGCAGGCCACTCGCTATGTCTGTCTCAGTCTTAGTTGACTTCTTATAAAGTTGTGAAGGCCGAAATGGAAGCATTAGTTCCACTATTTCTCTTTATTTATACCTAATTGTCTACTATTTGGTACCACGGATTTTGAAATCTGCACTAAACATTTTATACATTCATAATTATTTACCTACATCCACTTTTAAACCAGATTACTTGTATGCCTAGAAATTACCTACCATGTTGATCGGTTTTTATTGAATAAAATGTATATATCTCTATATTGCAGAAATTACATTCGGTGCTACATGTTTATAAATATTTAAATTTTAGCATATAATGTATGTAACATGATTTTTGTTCCTATGATCATTCGTATTCATTCATATTCAACTGCATCACCAATGAGGTCCGGTCCGAAGACAAGCAAACTAATGGTATTATTTTAGACTTTGAATAATACATAGAAAAGAGGCTACAATTTTATTCTTGAGTCGTAAGAAATCGGTCCTACAGGCACCGATTTGAATAAAATTACCAATTAATAAATCACATATTGTTAAAGAACTTGTATCAATTATTGAATAAATTAGTGTGTCGTTCAAGTTTGAGTATTTGTATATTAGGGTCTTTATTTGTAAAGTATATACCCCTGACCTCTTGGTATATAATGTCATTTTCGTTATGAATCATTAACAGCAATGAAACTAACAATAATTACGTACAAGTTTGGTATGATCCCATCTTACTTTTTGATAATGGACCCAATTATCTTAGCACAATGCAATTTTCAATAAAACTTTGCGTCGATAAGTAGATTTGACTTATGAACACACGTGGTGCACTCCATCGAAGCTACTAACACACTACAGCTGTATGGCTAGCTTCATTCGTTGTAGACGACATTTCGTTATTTTGTTAGACCCAAAAAAAAAAATATGATGATTTTGTGGACGTAAAAAACAAGAAATCTTATGTATCGAAAATAAAACTAGCCTTGTTGTCTAATTCACATAGTCATAAGATTGTCAAAACAGAAACATCGAAATTTTGAGCAAGGACATGCAAGAAAATGTTGTTTATTGGTTAATATACTTGTTTGTCCACTAGCATAAATAGATGTAGGTCCTGTTTGTTTCCTCATCTGGATGGAGCATGCAGATGATCCATCCAAATGGTCCATCTCATCGATGTTTGGATTTTTTTTATTTTTATTCAAATGGTTCAGCTAAATGATTCATGTGTTCTTCTATTCAAATAGTCTATTTAGATGATTTTAATTAAAAAATGACTAAAATACTCATATATTTGTTAAATCTTTTTTTTATCTACATTAATTTTCTAAATATTTCAATATTAAATCTAAAATAATATCAAAGTCATCAAGCGTGATTTCACAATTTTGATGAAAATGTAATTTTGCGGTTTTGATAGAAAAACAAAATTTCACAGTTTTGGTTGGAAAATACGACTCTACGCGATTTAGCTGAAAAAATGCGAAATCACTTTTGCGATTTAAGCGGAAAAACACGATTTTTTTGTATCGGCAAAAAACGTGATTTCTCGGTTTAAGCGGAAAAACGCGATTTTGTGGTTTCAGCAGAAAAATATGAATTTGCGGTTTAAGCAGAAAACTGCGATTTCAAGGTTTCGTCGAAAAGATATGATTTTACACTTTAAACGGAAAAACGTGATTTCTAGGTTTCAGCAGAAATTTCGCGGTTTAAACGGAAAACCACAATTTTGCGGTTTCAGCACAAAAACACAATTTCTAGGCTTTGGTAGAAATTCCACGGTTTTCGCGGAACATCGCGATTTTTACGGTTTTTGCGGAAACACACGATTTTGGGGGTTTTGTGGAACAACGCGCTTTTGCGGTTTTGGCGGGAAAACGTGATTTTGCGGTTTTGGCGGAAACACACGATTTTGCGTTTTAGGAGGAACAAAGCGATTTTGCGGTTTTGGAGGAAAAAAAACATCTTTGCGGTTTTAGCGGAACAGCGTGATTTTGCGGTTTTGGCGGGAAACGCGATTTTGGCGGAAAACGCGATTTTGCCGTTTTGAAGGAACAACACTATTTTTTTATTTCGGCAGAAAAATGTTATTTTGCGGTTTTGGCGGGAAAACGCGTGGTTTGGGCGGAACAACACGATTTTTTGATTTCGGCAGAAAAACGCGATTTTTCGGTTTTGGCGGAACAACATGATTTTTCGGTCTCGGCGGAAAAACGTGATTTTGCGATTTCGACAGAAAAACGTTATTTCACGGTTTTGGGGGAAAACGCCATTTTGCGATTTCGGCGGAAAAACGTTATTTTGCGATTTTGGTGAAAAAAAGTTTTTTTTTGGCGAAAAACGTGATTTTGCGGTTTCGGTGGGAAAATATAATTTTGCTGTTTTGGTGGAAAAACATAATTTTACGGTTTTGGTGGAAAAACGTAATTTTACGGTTTGGACGGGAAAATATAATTTTGTGGATAATTTTGATTTCCTAGTTTTTATTAAATAGATATTATTAATATTTTTCTTGTGTAAATATATTTAGGGGTTTATGTGTCATTTGCATATTTGGGATGGATCATCTCTCATCCAAATGCTCCAATTCGGATCAGCCAGATGATCCATCTAAATATCAAAATTTTTGCCTATAAATTCAAAACTCATTCGGATGATCATCTGATGTTGTTCATTTTTGTTGTTAAACGAACATCATTCAGCTGATCCAGCCAGATGATCTAGCTGAATGATCAAACGAACAAGCCCGTAAGCGTTTTAATCGTTCTTTTGAGAGACGTAAAACAATCAACTGCTGAGTTGACTTTCTTTAGCTTTTTCTAGGGTTTGTGGGTTCATTGCATTATCCCAATATCATCTGATTTTCATCTCATTATTTTTTTTTTCTTGTTACTATCATCACCATTTTGATGTTAGTCATCAACACTGTTTTCAACTTTTTGTTGTTGTTTTGCAATAAAACAATGTTGATTTTTACGTGATATTTTTATTTTTGAAAAGTTATTTTGATAAGGGCTTTGCAAAGTTTTCATTATCAGCAGAACCATCCATCTTAGTCATGGTCATCATCATCACCATCACGACCATCTCCTACATGGATTAAAACAGTTTACACCACATAAACTCTTGACCGTTTATAAAATGGAAACAAGTCCTCCTCTCTTCTCATATCAAAACCCATTTCTTCTCAGTTCCCATTAATTAATTATCTTCTTCCCTAAGCGAACAAAGAGTGACTAATTATCATATATTAATCATCAAAACCACATAATATGCCTCTTAGGATTAAACCCCTATCTCTCATCTTCCTCATACTCCTCATTGTTTGCTCTTCATCACTAGGTAAATATATCCATATTTCATTTTTTCATTTTTTCATTTTTTACTCTTTTTTACTCTGTATGAAGGGCTATTCTCATCGACCTTGCAGCCCAATATATCCATCTTTAGTCGTAGACTCGTAGATCAGCTTTTGATTTTATCTTTTCGTACATTCCTCTTCATAGTTGAATGGATGCTTAAGTCCACCTTAAACCACCATTCATTACTACTGTATTGGTGGAGCCACACCGAAAAATACTATTTCTCTAACATTAAAACACATCGGAACGTACTTGTTTGAGTCACAATAATCAATCTCTTCTAACTATTTAGATTACTTATTAACAAATAAAGAATGTATAGCCCGCTGACACAGTGTTTTTCTCAGCTATAGTCGAAGGCTCTATCCAGTTCGGAGGCACAAAGATGCATGAGAGGTTCATGCTTTACAAGGTAATGTATAGTTTATATTTATATGTGCATATAACTATTGGAAATGTTGTTTGTGTCCAAATATTGACAAGAACAACATATGGGTGTGTAATTATAAAGAGTGAGGAAGTGGGAGTGAAGAAGATGAGTCATAGGAAGTTGATGTTTCACTCGACGACGGACTACGACGACGCAGGACCAAACCCTAAGCATGACCCAAGAAAGAGGCCAGGAGGCAAGCCTTGAATGATCAACACACAATGATCTATCTCTCTCTCTACATATATATTTATATGTATTGCATAAGCACATGCACTAATATCTATATATCTATATAAGTGTGTCCTCCTTTTCTGACATTTTGTTTGAGGTTGAGATCAGTGTACAATACCTTTCGGAAACGCGTTCGTGAAAGGAGGACTAGCTAGTTACTTAGATATACTAAATCGTTAATTAATTATTGTCATCGTATTTTATTGACATATTTAGTCCTTATATTCTATGTACTTCGTTATATCGAATACTAAATAAAGAGTGTTATGGCTATTTTACTAAAATGGAGTTTTATTTATTTACTAAAATCAACAAAAAAGAATTCTTAATCATATATATGAAAAGAGGCCAACTCTCTCCATATTGTTGACACATGGACACAGGAGAAAATGACACATGTTATATAATTTTCACTTTAAAAAACAAAAATCCAAAAGTTTAATATAACATTAATGCAACTTTTGGTCTTCTTTTGTTATTGTAACTTACAAAATACATTTTCATATAATTTTCACTTTAAAAAAAAATATCCAAAAGTTTAATGGAACTTCAATGCAACTTTTGGTTTTCTTTTGTGCCATTGTAACTTATAAAAAAAAAAAAAAACTATTATATCACTTTAAAATTATTATCTTCGTCATCAATCTTGAATCACTATTAAACATTTAAGTTCTCTATAGAATTGGATTCAAAAAAAAACGATGGCAGAGAAGCAGAGTGTGTTCCACGTAGCGGTGAATAAATAAAAAGTGTCAAGGGTATAAAAACATGTGGTATTATACAAAACTATATATTTGAAAGTCTAACGAAGCAAATAAGAATTAAAATACGGGTGTTATTTGGTTAAAAGATTAATCACAAATCTATAATTGTTTTATACTCCAAGCAAATAAGAATTAAAATACGGGTGTTATTTGGATTATTTGGAGTAACATTTTTCTTAAACTATAACAATAAGAAAACATGCGCTTATGTGCGAACATAAGTCTAGTTTCAATGATTTAAAATGAGATAGGCGCTAGTTGAGTGTTCGAGACAAGTTTTAGCGCATAAATCGGCTAAGAGAATCTTCATTAGTGATACTCTTAGGGATGTCATATGGGTTAACCCGCGCCCAAACAGGCTAACTTCCCACAATTTCATCTTTCCGGTGGATTATGTGGGTCAACCTGTTACGGGCTGTGGTTATGGCAGAATTTTACTTTGTTATTACTATTGTGTTAGAATTTTATAAAATGTATACACTACCACATTTTATATATATACATATAAAAGCAAAGTTGATTAAGAGTACAAAATTAAACTACAACATTTTATATATATACACTACCACTACGCCATGGTTTTGTTCAGAGATTTTTTTTTTTTTTTTTTTTTGGTACGTTGTTCAGAGATTTAGTGCTTTTGATTTGCCGAGCAAAGAGACTTGTGGACAAGCGCGCGAGTGTATATATTAATCAATTTAGTAAACAACAATAATCGAATAATATATATATATATATATATATTCTTAATTTCATTTTTTCCACTATATTATTTATTTATATGAAAAGTTCAATCGATATTTAATTTAGAATATTTTTTTATAGCAAATCACTATCGGTGAAATATATATATATATATATATATATATATATAAAGTTCATGCAATTCTATTATGGCGTTGTCACCTCAGCAGAAGAGGGTGTCTCTAAATTCAGCATATCAATTATATATTTTAAAAATATTTTAATTTCATAATAATTAGCATTTACTACTATAGTAACTTAGTAAGAATATGAAAAGTCATTTAAAAAAAAAAAAGATTATGTATAGATTTACAAAAACTATTATTTAGTAATAATAATAATAGAAAGATATTATAGAAAGAACACTTTTTTTAGTATTGTATAGATCGAACATGACAAGACGAAAAAATAGAACTTGAGAATAATGGATTTTTGTTTACTTCCTACTCCCTCTGTCCCACTATATAAGCTGTTTAAGGTAAAACACAAAAACCAAGAATTTTTTTTTTTAAATAAAGTATTACTTAATATATAAATAAAATATAACTCAACCAATCATGAAAAAAGACTATAAAATATAATTGGACACACAACATTTAATAAAGTAAAAAGTGCATTGGTTTTAGAAAACAGCTTATAATTTGGGACAAATTTTTTTTTCAAAACAGCTTATAATATGGGACAGAGGGAGTATTAAATTAAGTGACGAGACGAGATCTAAAGGAATAGAAAAGAACGGGATAGAAGAAGACATAAATTCCACCTACCTCTAAATATAATATAATCATTTTTTTAAAAGGAGAAAGATATGTATATATCTAAAAAAACTATTATTTAGTAATAATAATAATAGAAAGATATTATAGAAAGAACACTTTTTTTTTAGTATTGTATAGATCGAACATGACGAGACGGAAAATATAGAACTTGAGAATATGGGATTTTTGTTTACTTCCTATTAAATTAAGTGACAAGACGAGATCTAAAGGAATAAAAAAGAACGGGATAGAAGAAGACATAAATTTCACCTACCTCTAAATATAATATAATCATTTTTTTAAAGGAGAAAGATTATGTATAGATCTACAAAAACTATTATTTAGTAATAATAATAATAGAAAGATATTATAGAAAGAACATTTTTTTAGTATTGTATAGATCGAACATGACGAGACGAAAAAAATAGAACTTGAGAATAAGGTATTTTTGTTTACTTCCTTTTATATTAAGTGACGAGACGAGATCTAACGGAATAGAAAAGAACAGGATAGAAGAAGACATAAATTTCACCTACCTCTAAATATAATATATGTAGGGGCGGAGCGGAAAAAACAAAAAAAAAACATGATGAGAGAGGACAAGACATAAACGTTGAACGAGACAGAACATAATGGGATGGAAAGGGACGGAACGGAAATTTTGCCTACTGCTAACTATATTTAGAGATGAGACAGAGATAAGACAAAATGAAAATAAATATAATAAGATATGACGGGACTGGATAGGGCGAACCAAACGAACAGGATGGGAAAAAATATGATAAGATGAAAAGGATCGATCAAATTATTAAAAATCCATGGTCTAGTACACATTTTTAAAATTCTTTTGGGTCAATCTATACAGCCCAGCCCGCATGGCTCATGGAGCTGATATGGTCAACAAAAATATATCAAACTAGGGGGTGAGGGTTGTTTTAGTTTTATTGTTTTTCTGCAAATTTAATATTGTTTAAAAAGATATTATAAACATATTACTTAAATATAATTAGAGTTAGGCAAAAAAATTGTACCATCTTGTTCCATCTCGTCTTATTTCGTTCATTTTCATCATGTGTGTTCTTTTCCGTTCTGTTCGTCCTATATGTCCCGTCCCGTTCAGTCCTATCTTATCCTATTATGATTCTTTCCATTTTGTTAAATATTGTCTTGTTCCCTAATTATAATTAGGGGTAGATATAATTCTATCTCATTATGTTCCTTTCAAAAAGGGATTTTGTTTACTTCCTTTTATAATTAGGGGTAGACTGGATGAGGCGGACCAAACGAACGGAATTGGTAATAATAGAACTTCAAAAGTATTTTGGAGTAATATATGTGTGATAAATCTAGAATATTTCAGAGAAAAAGATAAAAAGTATTATGATTTTCTTTGATGATGCCTTGTGACCTACTCTTCAGATGTGAGTGTTGACACTTGCAAAATGTTATACACAAATCTCAATCTAAGAAAAAAAAATATTACAACAAAGTTGCAAGCATTTTTAGTGCACCTTATAATATAAGCAAGAATCTTCAAGAATCCAACAAGGTGGGGAATTATATGCTCTAAACCCATCCTCGGGTAAAGACCTTCTATTTGATTCATCAAAGTTTGATCTGGGCGTTCGGGTTTCGGTTCGGGTTCGGTTCGGTTCTATTCGGGTTCGGGTCTTTTCGGGTTGCTAAATTTTAGACCCGTTCGGGTTTAGGAAAATTTCGGTTCGGTTTCGGTTCGGTTCTGTCGGGTTCGGGTCGGTTCGGGGCTAAATTTTATGGACCCGTTCGGGTTTATACAAATTTTGGTTCTTATTCGGGATCTCATTCGGTTCTGATTCGGGTTGGTTTTTATCGGTTTTTTTAACCGAATATCCAAAATCCTACAAAATAACCGAAAAATTGTCTTTACTCCATCTTCTACTAAATGTTTTTGGACTTTTCGAATATTTTGGTTATTTTGTTCTAAATATAACTATTATATTAGATTTTTAATTGTAATTTTAGTTATTTTTTATTATAAGCTATAAGCTAAAAAATAACTAATATTTTGGATATATAATTATATTTTGGATATTTCGGGTATCCATTCGGTTCTCGGTTCGGTTCGGGTTCGGGTTTTTCGGGTATAAAATTTTTGGACCCATCGGGTATTCGTCTTGGTTCCGGTTCGGTTCCATCTTTTTCGGGTCGGGTTCGGTTCGGGTCCTTCGGGTCCGGGTAAAATGCCCAAGCCTACATCAAACCTTATAAAATATGTTGTCTTTTTAGGGACAAATGTTGTTTCCGTAGATAGTCTAATTTAGTTTACAATATGCTACAATTTGAGATTTCCAAAGATTGATCAGCAACTCAAAACTCGAGTAGAAAGCTCAAGTATGTAATTCAGTTTTTAAGAACTTAATGGTATTATTTAACCAAAAATCAAAAATTGATCTGAACAAGTCAAAGTTTAAACAACCCGAATTTGTGATACAAGTTCTTGATAGTTTAAACGGGAAAACAAAACAACGAGTTAGCTATCTCTAAGGAAAGCTAAATGGAGGGATGAGCTGAGTTTTCCTCATCTTCAAGATCCATGCGCTTAAGGAGAGGAAGATCACAATGAATGGCTCATCATCACCTAGCTTGGAGTGGGACAGGGGCAAGGCACTTGACCAACGGGAGAAGCCAACTCCGTTCCTCCAGCTCCTACGCTTTTGTATCTTGAGCATCCCACTCCACTCCACAAGGGCCGTCACTCCGAGGAACGCCTTGACTAAGATAGATTTACTCTTTCATTCTTGCAGTCGGGATTTCCAAAGATTGATCAGCAACTAAAACTCGAGTAGAAAGTATGTAATTCAGTTTTTAAGAACTTAGTGGTACTATTTAACCAAAATCAAAAATTGATCTGAACAAGTCAAAGTTTAACCAAAACAAACCAAATTTGTGATACAGGTTTTTGATAGTTTAAAAGGAAAAACAAAACAACGAGTTAGCTATCTCTAAGGAAAGCGAAATGGAGCGATGAGCTGAGTCTTACTCACCTTCAAGATCCATGCGCTGAAGGAGAGGAAGATCACAATGAATGGCTCATCATCACCAATGGAGTCCTCCTCATTCAACTTCACAAACTGAATTAAAAAAAAAGATTGAAAACAGAGGAGGTTAATGTTGTTAGTGTATAAAAAAATTTAAAAATAAAAATAAAGACATAATTACTGATTTACCGTAGTTGCAGCATTATAGGCTCCTTGAAATGAGCTTTTTGGGTTGAAAGTAAACTCATATACTGATATACACCCTTATGTATGACCTGGCAAACAAAAAATGACAACAAACCAAATAAAAAAAAAATCCATCAATCAATAACTCATATAATTAAGGACAAAGAATGTTATACTAACTAACCTTGCAGAGCATTATAGAGGCTGAGGTTAGGAAAGGTGATGACCTTTAGTGCCCCTTTTACAAACTCCTCTTCAGCTTCCACTTTATCTCCATCATCACCTCAGCCAATCCACTAACCAACTCCAACTCTTCTTCTGAGCCTTGAAACTCCAAGCTATTGGTGTCCGATTTTTGTTAACTCTATTGCACAGATGTTGCACTTATTGAAGAATTATTTCTGCAAGTGCATTGCAAGGAAAATCATGTCTTTTGTTGGGGTTTTTTTGTGCCTATCTTTTTCTCCATATAAGACAATTAAAGGAAATAAATGTAGACTTGAGTAAACTTATTGAATCACACTTGAGAAGAAGACTATAATTTTATATGCATTTTCTTTCTTTTTTTGCTAAGAATGTTAAAATATGAAATAGAATGCAAGATGGTGGAATCGAACTTGGGTTGCGTGACTAAGGAACGTAGTAAAAATACTCATTGGGATACACAATAGAAAACGTCGACTGAAAACAAAACACAAAACAAACAAAAAGGCAAACCATTAGAAAATTATATCAAACAAAGAGAGTGGGAGAAAGGGAGATACACAGTTATGGATATATTAGACTACCTCTCTCATGTGTGGTTCTTTTTTTCCTGTTGTATCATTCTCATTCTTCCATCTTGTTTGTATCCTACCACTAGATAAGTGATGCCGTGCCCATTGTCTTCACCAACGATCACTCTGGCAACTCCTCCATGGTTTCCATCATCAAAGACAGCTCCAGATTTATCATCACCGAATGGTCCCTTTTTCATTGACATCATTTTTCCCTTGAAAGATCAAACTCGAAGATCAACAGAATCTTAAGAGTCCTTACCTGCAGTACAAAAGTAGGAAAAAATTTATATGATTTACGTTTATGGAAGTGGTGCTTCTTATCAAACATCCCAATCATTCATGTAGGATTAATTTCAAGCAAGATTTATCACAATTTTTCAGTTTTCCAATGCTCAACAAATAACTCTAAGACTGACCCCAAGCCAATAGAGAAAGAGACGGGACAGCCAATCAGACTACAACCAATGAAACGATATACAAATAATAGAACTATATACCGTATACAAAGTAAATTACAATTCCATCATTAGCTAAGGTTTTGTCAGCAATTTGGAATAAAGAGATTGTAGCTGTTCATAAGCATTTCATATTGGATTGACTTTACCAAATTGGGTTTCAATTAGTCAACCATTAATACGGAAATGGATTCCTTTAAATTTGTAACACTATACGTCGGGATTTTTAGTTCTAAACTCAGAATTTCCAAATCTAAAATCTAAAGACATACCACAACTGCCGTTGTCGCAAAAAAAATATATATATATATATATATAAAAAAAAAGCTATAATGCAGAATAAATTAAAATATAAACACAAAATGCGTATCCAGGGAATCGAACCTGTTCATAAGCATTTCATATTGGATTGACTTTACCAAATTGGGTTTCAATTAGTCAACCATTAATATGGAAATGGATTCCTTTAAATTTGTAACACTATCCGTCGGGATTTTCAGTTCTAAACTCAGAATTTCCAAATCTAAAATCTGAAGACAGATCACAACTGCCGTTTTCGCAAAAAAAAAATTATAAAAAGCTATAATGCAGAATAAATTAAAATATAAACACAAAATGCGCATCCAGGGAATCGAACCCTGGTCAGTACCGTGGGAGGGTACTATGATACCACTACACCAGATGCGCTTTTGCTTATTCTCTCAATTAAATATTATTAGACTTGCATACTGTCTACTATTGCTATGTATTAATGGTTGAGTTTCTTGTGTGTATATCTTAATCTTTCGCTAACAATACATACATATAAGCACATATTAACAAATAACTATATGTATATGTAAATAATCGAATAACAGAGTAAAGTCTTTTGTTTGCTTACAGAATTTTTACAAGAATTGATTTATACAAAATCTCGTAAATCTCTCCACACTAGTCCTATCCTTCAACCTTCACGTACTTTGTTCATCCATACATGATACATCTTTGTGTCAAATCTCATATCCTTCCATTTATAAATACACCAAATCAAAATCCTTCTCTTCTCCATCTCTATCTGCAACCCAAAACAAGTCTTCCTTCTTCGTTTATCGTCGCATTCCTACATATTTTCTGAAGGTCTATGTAACCAATGATTGTATCCTCAAACACCACATCCTCAAGATTCGACTCTTCGAATGTCGAACCTGACAAGACCGTGTTCCTGAACACAGCTCCTTTCAAATCCGATTTCCCAAAATTCACCCGATCAATCACAGCATTCGAGAAATTCACCCCTACAAATATCAAAAAAAAAAAAGAAAAAAAAATTAAAGCTTTACCATTTCAGTTCTTAATATGCTTACAAGTTTTCAAGATTTTGGTCATACCTTTGAAGCTTGCTCCTACGGCATAAGCTTTTGACATGACGACTTCAGTCATATCAGCACCATCAAACTTAGCACCTGACATCAATGCAGCAGAGAGAGTCTTTCCTTTGAGATTAGTTTGGTCGTTTGTGTAGTCACAGAACCTAAGATCGAGTGGTTTGTCATAGACTCCATTCGCTTGACCTATCGTGTTACCAACAAACGCTTGCTCACACCTGTTTGGATCTGTTGAAAGCGGAGGAAGTCTCTGTACAAAAACAAACAAACCACTGATTCCATCAGTTTCTTGAAATTATAATACATTTCCATCATTAAACCGTCTTTAAGCATTTCCCAAAGCTTTAGAATTGGGTTTCATTTGCATAATCACTATGTAAAAAACGAATTATAATCACAAAAGCACATTCTTAACATGATTAATCCAAGTTCTTGATGCATACACTAGCCACAAATAGTGTTCAAAAGAGAAGACGAACATAAATGTGACTGACCTGGTTAGCAGCAATTACAGGAGAAGCCATTGTAAGAGTGCAAGCAGAGATCACGGCGCAAGCGATGCATCCAAGCTCCTTAATCGGCAACAAGCTCTTCTTCAAGCCTTGACCATTCTCTCCGTTTTCTCTAGCAGCTGTGTAGAGAGAGCATAATTGGAAGAAAAATACATTATTCACATTTCACTACTTTCGTTTCCCTAAAAAGCTCAATTTATTAGACATAGCAACACTATGGTTTTGATTTGTGAATCATCATCACACAATTCAACTTTTACACCGAAATTTTGAGTCTGATTTAGAGGTTTGAGCGACGATTAACCAGATGATTTCGTCGAAACAACTGAAATTTCTGAGAATCCGAAGAAGTTTTAACCAGTAAAATGCGACGGGAAAAAGAAGATGGGATTTACCGGAGCAATGTACAGTGACAAAAGATCTCGGCGCAGTGAAGGCGGAGCGGCGGAGACTTGCGGAGGAATACGGTGTAGAGAGATGATTCCTGGAGAATTGAACAGGAAGTGAAGCCATGGCTGCTGATTCAGAGATTTTGATTTTCCGAGCAAAGAGAGACTTGGACAAGCGCGAGAGTTATCCACAATTCGTTATGGATCATGCCTATGACGTGGCGTGACAGATCACAGACGGTAACTATTTTGGGCTGATTAATTAATTGGTCCATTTAAAAAATCTTTCTTCGGTTTTCTTTTTAGTTTTTACCATGAACTGATAAACTGATCAGTGATCAGTAAATCTTAATCGGAATTCCGGCGACAAAGGGGCCCTCCACGCCGAAGAATGGCGTCGTACCGGCCACCGCATCCTCCTCCTCCTATCCCTCCGCCGTCTCAAAATCCCTTACCTCCGCCGTCGCATCGACCTTACTCTTATCCTCCGCCGCCTCATGCTTACTATCCTCAGCAATTTAACCAGCTTCAAGCTCCTCCGCTTCCTCCTCCTCCTCCTCCACCCTCAGCTCCTCCTCCTCTCGTACCCGATCCTCCTCCTCGCGACAAAGGGGCCTCGAAGCCGATTTCTGCGCCTGCTCACGGAGTTCCATCGGAGCACCACAGGCCTCGTATTAGGAATCCCGGTGAAGAAGAGAGGAGGCTTAGGAAGAAGAGGGAGCTTGAGAAACAAAGGCAAGGAGAGAAGCTTAGACAGCAGATGAAAAGTTCTCAGATGCCCAAGGAACATAGCTCCGAGAAGAAGCCTACGCCTACGCCTCTACTCACCACCGAGAGGGTCGAGAATAGGTTAAAGAAACCAACCACCTTCATCTGCAAGCTCAAGTCAGTTTCCTTTCTCCCTTTCTTTCTCTCTTGCTCTTTTCACATTCATAGGCTGATTCTGATTGATTCTCTTCAAGGTTCCGGAATGAGCTCCCTGAGTCTGCACAGCTTAAGCTCATGACCATTAAGCCAGATAAACATCAGTATGTATTTTTTTATTTTATCTTCCCTGAGTCTGCACAGCTTGTATCTGATTCTGATTCTGCCATTTGATCCCACTAGATATACAGATTACACCACCACATCGCTGGAGAAATCATGGAAACCAAAAATCTTTGTCGAGCCTGATCTTGGAATACCCTTGGACCTGCTTGACCTAAGTGTATACAACAAGTACGATCTCTCAAAAAATGTTTACATTTATCTCTTAGAGCTCATCTACTGGGATGCTTTATGCTTATTGTGCGTATTCGCTTTTTCAGCCCACCCAAATCCAAGGCGCCTCCTCTTGCCCCTGAAGATGAACAACTGTTGCGTGATGATGACGATGATGCTGTTACAACCATTAAGAAGGATGGCATCAGGAGAAAAGAAAGACCAACTGATAAAGGTGTTTCCTGGCTTGTGAAAACACAATACATTTCTTCCATTCACAATGAATCGGCTAGACAGGTATCAATCTTCTCTGTTTTTGGTTTGGCATAGCTTGTAAACACAGTTACCAAACGAACCTTGATACAAGACTATGGTTAGGGTGTTTAGAGTATCATTAGGGTGTTTTTAATTAATGGTTTTGGTGTTTTAATTTATTATTAATTAGGTTTTCATGTTTTCCTTTTACATGTTATGATTAAAGTTGTATCAACACCTATATAAGGGTCTCTATTCATTAATAAGAAAGGAAGCCCCAAGAATTAACCTTAATCTCTAAGAGAGAATTAGGGTTAAAAGGGAGCTAAGCTTTTACATCAATCAATCTAAGTGTGTGAACAAAGGTTCATATCACCTTGTTACGTTCTCCATGTGTAGTCTCTGACTGAGAAACAAGCAAAGGAACTGCGAGAGATGAAAGGAGGCATCAGCATCTTGCAAAATCTTAACAATCGGTGTGATGTTTCCCAAATTTGTGTTTTTTTTTTTTTTCCTGAAGAAAGTGAAAACACAAGACAAAAAACGTATTAATGGTTTTCTGTTTCTTGGTCTTCTAGGGAGAGACAGATCAAGGATATTGAAGCATCCTTCGAGGCCTGCAAATCTCGACCAGTTCATGCTACCAATCAAAACTTGCAGCCAGTTGAAGTGTTGCCACTATTGCCACATTTTGATAGGTTGGATCTCCTTGATTTCCCTTTCAGCATATTTTCTCATAATAGCTCTACCATTAGGCACTTGTTAATCGGATCTATGTGACACTTTTGAGTTTATCTCTATGTTGGCATTTTGTGAACGATCATCTGTTGTGGTACACATGTGTATAGTTGTCCAATTCCTATGAAATAGTGTGATCAATGGATGGGGAAGCTAGCCTTGTTGAGGTCTAATTTCTTACTACTTTAGAGGATGTTGGCCCTCGTTTTCCCCTTTTTCCCTGCTCAGTGTCTTGTTCCAATGAATCTTTGCTAGAGTTTTAGGGGACGAATAGTTATCACTGAACTCGTAGCATATGCTAATCTGTTTGACTTCTTGCCTTCAATTTTGGACTCAGGTACGATGAGCATTTTGTGGTAGCGAATATTGATATTCCTACAGCTGATTCTGAATCCTTTGGCAAGTTGAACCCTTCAATTCGTGATGAATATGAGTCACGGGTGAGTTTGTGTTGTCCATATCCAATTATCTCTTTTCTCTAACAGAGGAATTTGTTTGATGAAAACCATATCACACTTCCGTTGCGTAGATAAGTTGTCGAATTAGGATGGGATATAAGTTATGGAGCTGAGTCCTAAACATTTGTTGATTGCCTTGGTCATAGAAATATCACATAAATTAACCTTTCTTGTTCTTCCTTGACAGGCCATTTTGAAAAGCTATGTGGTGGGTGGATCAGAAAAATTTCTAGCGTACATGGTTCCTTCCTTGGGTGAGGTAGAGAGGCTTCTCCTCTGTGTAAACAAGTGAAGAAAAATTCAAAATTTAATTGATATATCATTTTGTTTATGCTGCTGTCTGTGGCAGTTGTCTAAGGATATGCATGATGAAAACGAGGATATCTCTTACACTTGGGTCCGCGAATACCACTGGGGTGTACGTACCTTAGTCATTTTTTTTTTGTATTGTTTGGGTTGCAAAATCGAAATAAATATGCTATCCTCATATTATAACAGGTAGGTGGCGAGGCAAACGATCCTGGCATGTTCCTGGTATCGTTCGACGATGGGACTGCTAGATATCTGGTATTTTGCCTAAACTATATGCACCTGCATCTGTTTTTGTTATATATCCAGTTTCCACTATGGGATGATGACCCTTTAGCATGTGGCAGCCCATACTCACAAAGCTCAACTTGAGGAAAAGAAGATTTGATGAGATTGAACACTTTCCCGTACCTTCAAGGGTGACTCTAAGGTCCAGATCGACTGTATCAGTGATACAACATAAAGACTCAGGGGTATAGTAAAATTCACACGACGATTTACATCAAAAGTATGTGGAAAGTTGTGCTTCTGTTTTACCAATTTCTTTGGACTTTGGATTTGTAGGTTTATTCGAATTCTATGGATGGTGCTTCGAGCTCCAAGATGAGAAGGTTAGAGGACGAACAAGGCCTTGGTAGATCTAAACACGAAGATGCCAATCAATGTAGTGATGGTAACGAGGATGATTATTCAGACTGAATGAATGTGTGCCTTTTAATCGACAAGAACCATATCTGACCACATTCCCACTGTGACTTGGCAATTTGCCACTCCTAGGTGTAGATCTGGTTTCTTCTTTTTTCTTCATTTCTTGATGGTTTTATTTTACTTCTTCTATTCATGGGTAAGATTTTGAGTCTGGTGTGTATGCGTGTGGTGGAGAGGAGACGTTTCAGAATGTACAGAATGAGACACATTCTATCTCTATAACTTGCTTTTCTGATGGTTACGGCTTTGATAATAAAGAACCTTAGTAGTTAGTACCAAGATTTGTGATAGTACAGTAGAACACTACAAAAAAAAACTTGTTAAGAACTTAAGATCAAGAGAAATTCCTCAAAATTCCATAAAAAAATTAGTAAATATAATAACACAAAAATATGTAGAAACTAAATTTATAGTCAAAATGTTTTAGAAAAGGAAACAAAATTTTCGTTTATTTTTTTATATCATAGGTTTAAGAATTATTTCATTGCCTAGTTATGTTTCAACATTGGTCAATAATATTTTATTTTTTTCTCTATACTTTATTTTGAAAATAGTTTTCCATAATTTAGTTAAAGATAAATTATATTTTCTGGTAAGAAATTTCCATTTTATGTCCTTATATTTTAGTCATATATGAATATATATAGTTGAAAATGTTTTAGATTTTTCTTATTCACAATTTCATTTTGTGAATATTTAAATGTTTCATTGATTACATTTAAAAAAAAAAAAAAAAACTAAAAAACCTACATAAGAAATTAATAATCTAAAATCAAATCAAACAAATTTGCAGTCTTAATTTTAAACCAAATAAACCGAAAATTGAGAATATCTAAACAGAACCAAACCAATGTAAATACTATAGTTTTAATATGATAAATATTTTTTATTAACGGAAAACCAAAACGATATCGGGATTAAATTTATATAACATATACCTTAGAGAGGTTACAAAAATTTTACAACGAGAGTTTTGTTGCTTGTAAAGGCTTGCTACCAGGGCTTGCTAATATGTTAGTTGCATTGTAGTTTAGGTTTTTGTATTTTTGTTTAAAAGTCTGTTAGAATTACTAGAAATTTTGCTTCAGTAAAACCAAACTGAATACAGTTTAGTATAATATATGTATAACGTTTTCGATTTTATTCTCACAACTATATGAAAATTATGATATTAGTTTTCTGGCAAATACAATTACTGGTTTCTACAGCAACATTTTCCCGAACGAAAAAGTTCAGCGGTTTGTGATCCGCGTACAAGACGTAAGCAGAATTCTAGGCAAGTCATCCCATGGTTCCCCCATTCAGCTTCTTCCAAGCATATTTCAGTTTTAGGAACTATTCACCAACAATTATTAAACAAATACGTATATTCACATTAGAAACTAAAAAACTGTAAGCAAAATACAAAATAAAATAGAAAGTGCAATAATCAATTATTACGTGGAGCCGTGGAGGGTAGTCAGAGCAATGAGCAGAAGACATGACAAAGAAGATACCCACAAAAAATGCGAATAAATTACCAAAACGAAATACTGTATACAGAATTTACAAATACAAAGCCTCTCTCCACTACTAATTTCTCTCTACCATAAGTGGAAATAAATCTAAATAAGCTCATCTACACATACACGTTAGAGAATCAAATTACATCAAATCAACGAATCACAGACACAACAAAACCCTTCTCACTACCGTTAGAAATTTTAATCATATAAAAAAAAATCCCCAAGGAAGATCTTCTCTGTGCAAGTAACATCAACATCTTTCTCCTTCAACCACTCCTTTCCATGATCACTTGTCCTCTTTGCTGGACCCCACCAATCGCCTGTCAAATTTTCAGACAAATCCGTACTCTTTGAAACCATCTCCAACCGCCACTTCCTGCCAAATCAAGAAACATCTGTTCCTCATCATCTCCTGCGTCTACATCAACCCACCCACTGACCCCTTCTTCTACAGGATCATCATCATAATCTTGAGGAGTTAAAACCACATTTTGGATCTCCCTTTTGACTATTGAACAATAGCTAGCAATAGCATCAATCTGGTTTCTAGACCCCACCATAAGCGTCAATGACCCCCTGCAAGAACCATGTGCTTGTGCCTAGCAAGAAAGGAACAATGGCATTTGGTTTTGTTCTTTCAACTTGTAGTCACAGGCAAGCCGTAGTTCTGAAATGTCCTGATCCGACCATCCCAACCGCCTGTGACAATGACCATACCCCAAGCTAGAGAGCTAGATGCTCTCTGACAAGAGGACTTGAGAAACTTGTAATGAGATGCAGTCATTGCGGATGTAGACAGAGGATTCGCCGGTAAGTTTTCCTCTGGCCATGTGGCGTTTCCTTTGGGAACAAACCCTTCGTTGAGAGATAAGCCGGAAGGAGAAGAAAACGGTAGAGCTGTGTTGTGATGGTCTGAGAATCCACACCAAGTTGCTGCAACTGATGCGTTGGTGGAGAAACGTTCAAAAGATCGGATCTTTTTGGCTTGCGAAGAAGTATCTGATTCCTCTCCATTGCTCCAGATATATACATTTGAGTCGTCACAAGCTGAAACAATGTGCTTTCCATCTGACGTGAGCGACGCCGATGTGAGGCTTCTCGTCTTGCAAACACCTGAATACAGAGATGAGCTTAGTTTAGAATCAATCATTAGAGATATGCAAAAGAAAATGATACATAAGAAGCAACAAACCTTTATATTTTCTGACGACATTGTTGCCTTGGAGAATTCTAACTTTGGAATCAGCGGAAACAACAAGGACTTTGCTATGGTCTTGTGGTAAAAACTGGTAAAATATACACATACCGATATGTTAACACATGTCACGATGTTAAGAGAAGTAAGTAAGCAAATCATCAAGACTGTTATTATTACCTGAAAACCAGTTATCCGCTTATTAGAAGACTTCTTCTTGCTATGCAAATGTATCTGAGAGTCTAGTTCTAAATACTCTCCAGACATGCTAAAGAATCTGCAACTTCCGGTCAGAGAACCAATAACTCCTCCCTGTCCATCCGGACGATAACACACTGCGGATATAATGTCTTTGAGATCAGCCCAGTCAACAACATTGCAACCAGAAATGTTCCAAATCCGAACTTTTCCATCAATAGAACCACTCATGAAGTAATTCTCATTCACCGGGTTAAACTGAACAGAGGTTACTGCAAGAAAACGAAAACGTCAGAACAATGAGATAAACAAAAATGTAATCACCAAGAAGAAGAAGAAGAAGAAACATACCATAACTATTGTGAGCAAAAACTCCAAGACAATCATTGCTACCGACTTTCCACAGCCGAACAGTTTTATCCATTGAAGCTGAGAGAAGATACTACAAGAAGAAATGACACAAAATCAGTATTTTACTTCAATTAAAGCAAATGGTTGCAAGTAGATAAGATTTTTAGAAAGCTTACATTATCTTTAGACCAAGAAATGTCCAAGACTTCACCAGTGTGGCCGCGGAATTCATACAGCGGTTTCTCCATTATCCGGAAAACCTTAGGAGGGAAGACAACACAGGCTGAATCTGATGTTTTCCTGAAACTCTCCGTCGTCTTCTTCGGCCTCTCCTCATCCAACAAAACCGGTTTCAACTGAGAGAGATCGTTAACCTCAAAGTACATACAAGAAGGGTCTGTCTCGTTCAAGCAGTCCCTTCTTAGCCTACTAGATCTCTTCTCCTCAACGACTCTCCACACGCGCACAACCCCATCTTCACCAGAACTTGCAAGATACTTCCCATCGCCGCTAAACTTCATAGCCAAGATGGAACCGTTGTGAGCTTTTATGTCTTGGCTTTGATAAAGAGCTGAGAGCTCTTTCTCCTGCTTCTTACAACGTTTGACCTTAACTCTTGACATCACATCAGACTTGATTCTGCTACGACCTGGTTCGATCTTTGTGTTCGCTGTACATCCCATAGACCGCAGCTTCGTTAACCAACCCTTCTTGAAACTTGTGATTAGTCCCGTGAGATTGCTCTGCTTCTCTGTTTCCTTCACCTGACAACACCTGGAATTGGAGCATGACGCCATTGAAGAGCTTTGCCTTCTCGTTACATCGCATCCACCAACGTTTTTATCCATTCTCAGAGACAATTCCTCGGAGCTTGAACCAGATGAAGATACCTGACTAGAAGAAGAAGAACTGCTAAACTCTGTAGATCTCTCCTCAGCTTCAGCTTCAGCTTCAACACAATTCTCTGGAGCTCCATCAGAAACCAAATCTTCTTCGACTCCCATCCACTCCAAGAACTTCTTCCTCCGATCCACAACACTTCCAGGTGAATCATTCCACACATCGAAATGGAAACCACTTGAAGTCATCTCTTCCTTGGCATCAAAGAATTGCAGATCTTCCTCTTGAGAAAAGAAATCCATTGATTATTCCTTGAGCGTTTTTCAATCCATGAAACCCAGCTTAAAGAAGAATGCTTTTTCTCTTCTTCTTCTCAAAAGAGGAATTTACCCAACTGCCAGTTTTGCTTCCAACCAAGCAACCTACAATGACACTTTATATATATCAAAATCTAGAAATAATATTTTATTTATTAGAAAAAAGAAGTTTACAAAATAAGCAATCACAGAGTTCGAGAAATGAAAAAAACAAATAAAAATCAAAGAGTTAAACATCAATCTCAATCCAAAAACCCATTGAATCTAGTCTTACTCTCTCTCAGAGGCATTTCCACAAACAACTTAAGTGGTCGATCAATGTGTAAGCAACGAAACAAAAACTGGTTTTTTCAGCACACAGAGAAGCTGAATTAGCAATAGAAAGTGAAAGATCTCATTTTTAGAGCTTAAGAAACAAATCCTCAACCAAAATTGCGTCAGCACAAACATCATCAACCAAAGAAATTAGAAATTTTTAAAATTGCGTACGTGGGTTGGTTCGTCTTCACTTGGCTTCTTAGAAATAGGAACAAACACATCCCGAAGAAGCAGCAGTGGTATTAGAGTCTACACACAGAGACCATTCAAACAATTCATGTGAAATGAAATCTCAGACCAAAACCAGAGAAATTATTACTTAATTTACTTTAAAAAAGAAAAGAAGGATCAAAGGTTTATATTGAAATCCGTGAAGAAAGAGACAATTGGGAGGAAGAAGAAGAAGATGGATTGTCTGAAGGGAATAGAGTTTTGTGGAAGAGGCACGAATCTTTGTGTGACCGTTTGCTATGCTTTTATTTAACCTCTCTGTCTTTATTGAATTTTTGTTTCCTACATGATTATTCGGTAATTAATCTGTTAATCACACGAGCATATTTCCTATGTTACTAATAATATTTGACATTTATTGTTTTCATTTCAAGATATTTTTTTTTATCCTCCTCGTGCTCTGTCTGTACTCTGTGGTAGTAGTACTAATAATTGGTAACGATTTTATTTATTTCACACATTTTGAGACCTGTGAATTTTGTACACCATAGCACATTTTGAGTATAAGTGTATAACGTTATCGTTATGCAGTTGTGTTTATATTGTCATAAAAAAAAAAATTGTGCATCATGTTTAATGTTGAGTAATTAAGAGTTATTTAAAATTTTAAAATACAAACTGAAACTTGTATTACAGTATTTTTATTCAATAAAACGAAATCTTTTTGATGATATTATTCTTAAATTTCATTCATACATCGTCGGCAAATGATTTATTTTTATTTCCTCACATGGTTACTAGTTACTAACTGCAAAGGACTATCGAGGGGGATACTCATCATCAAAATAGATTCTTAATTACATCCATCAATCTTTTCCTCCGATAATTTTTTTTATTTACTTTCAGTTTTAACTTTTACTTTCAATAATTAAGTATATTCGTTATGGCGCATATTTTCTTTTTAATGTCGTATATTTATATATTTGTGGTACATGCTTTGTTGGAGGCTTGGAGCCCACCTATCTGCATGATGACTACGCGGCATGTTCCCTATTCGCTTTGCCTTTGATCGGATTCGAACTACTGTATAATCTTTTGATCTCAATTATCTGTCACATTAAGAACTTAATTTCCAGTTGTTTGATACCTTAATTATTATTCGTTTTATAATAAACTATACAGAGTTCTGTAGTGCTCTCTGATTGTTTGGCAGCACACATGGAATATATGTTACTCTTTAAGTGATAAACCATATAAAAAATTAGATTTAAAATAATTAAAGTGCTACTATTGAAGTTCTTTACCATAACAATCCACTGATAAGCATTTATCATGAGTAATTGTAGCTGCCAAGAAAAGATAAAAAAAAATCACTTAAAGGACCCAAACAGAAATAAGTCCGACAAGATTAAAAAAAAGTTGTACTAGTATAGATTAACCAAAATATATATTACTTTTTTAAATCAGACATGTTCAATCAAACATAATTTGCTACTTAAGGCCGTCATGGCTGAGCAAAGGTTGTCTTCCTGTTTAAGCAAAAGCAAACAAGTAGAAATTAATAAAGCAAATAATTAATAATGCATGCAATGATAAAATACCACCTTCAGAGTTGCAAAGGCAGATTACCTGGATTCACGCAGGCTTGTATTGTAAAGACTAAAGAGAATATATGTTGTCCCATTTACATTTTTTGTAATTATTTATTTCTCTCTTGGTTTTTTTTTTTTTTTGTTACTTAAATCGCGGTGAAACAAAAGATCTTCAAGATTTCTTGATAATAATGATGTTATTATACATGCATCAGACTATATTATAAGATATACACATTTGGGCAACTTGGTTTTCTCTCCTACTACTTTCATCTTCATCTAAAACTCTTATGGGTATTATACATGTCTAAGAACTTATTTGAAATATAAAACTAAACATTTTTTACCTCGTAAGTATTCCATGAAATGCCAAGACCAGTTTTCAATGTGTTTTCTTTAGTGAATTAGTACATAGAGTTATTTCTTAATGTTTATTGATCATATAATTTACAAATAAAAGTTTTACTTTAATTAGATGATTCGTAAAGTGTCTAACACTATAAACGTGAATTACTCTCGTTTATGAGTTCCATGTACTAGGATTGTAATGTTTCTAGGATTGTACTCTTAGATTGTTCTTGCATCATAATTAATTAAGTTGTCAAGTTTTCATAATGAATTGTATTGTCCATGGGCAGTGTTTATTCATATATATAATTTTTGTTTATTACCTATTCATCTTCTTTAAATGTCGAATTTTATTGCTCATTGTCTTACGCTTTCAATTTCTCATAAATCTTGTTTGCTCGGACTTCTTGTCGTTAAGCTTTAATTCAACAAAAGCTCATCACTTTAGATTAGTTTTGGATCTCGTATGCTGAGTTAGTGATCTCTAATTTTTTTCTTTGGGTGAAACTAGTTCGATCTCGTATTTACTACTGCACATTTTACACACACTTACGTTGTAAGTGTATCATATTAAATCTCGTGCTATCACATCCGGTGCCAGAAGTCAAATATATAGATCTTCTTTTTTTGTGTGTGTGCAAATATATAAAGAGTGGTTACTAGTCAAGGAAATTATGTGAGCTTATCTCCTTGTCACTAAACGAAGAAACATGTTGGCCTAAAGACAGCCAACAAAATTTCATCCAACCGTATGTACAATCCAGCTCTAAAACTTATCTCCTTGTAAGAGAATATAAAAGAGCTTCGTGTCCAAGTAAAAAAGAATTGTTTGTGTCCAAGTAAAAAAAAAAAGAAATGTTATCAATTCGTAATATGTTGCATCTATATATAGTTCGACCAAAAAAAATGTAGCAATCTATAACATGCTGATGAGGCTTGCCAGCTAAGCAAGCTTGCAAAAGCCAACAGTTTAAATGATATACTAGAACTAGATATATAAAAGCCGCACGACCAACTATATAATATTTATTATTATTGTAGGTTTCTATAGTTATGATATTATACTTGCATATTGGCATATATCGAGTTAAAGAATAAGTTTTCCACAAGATACGGTTCATAGAATGGCCACTTCATTGCTTTGGTTGTTGAAACGTTGATATTCTTCCTTCATGTTCATCAAACCCAACCAGATTCTCCTAACCTTACCAGCTTCATTATTACCTCATCATAGTTCTGTCTAGACTTAGTTTCATTTTTATAATTCATTCTAAAAATTTGTTTGATTCTTTATAGAAGAACTAACATAAGACATCATGGCTTATGATTTATTTAACGTGAATTAATCACAAAGAATATATAGAGTGGTTTCAGTGAAGTTTCCAATTTGTCTTCTATTTCTACTGATTGTTTTTATGTTTGTAGCTGGCTTAAAAGATTACTAAACATTGATACTTCATGATGAACCTCCGTTACAGTGATTAAATAGACATAAACGATCATAGTATTTGATCTATGTTCATCATGATAAATAAATAAATATAAGGAAATTGTAATGATGCGATCAAAGTTGATATATTATGAAACTGTATATATATGATTTGATCTTTAAAATGTTTTAAATGGAATGAGTCAAGGGTTGATTTATCGTAATTCCCTCAGCCGACATAATTATAAAACTGTACAATACTACATTAATGCTTAACTATCTCGTCACCGCATTAGATTAAAACTGAATAATGATAGTTATATAAAAAAATAAAAAAACCAGAGGAAAATTCTTACAGGCTAAAATAGGAAGAGTATTCTAAATCATCTAGAGATAAACTGAAAACGTATTCTCCGACTAAGAATTCTTTTTTTTTTTACGTCGAAAGCTCCTTTATTATATTAAGATATGCCATTTGAATTAGCTATAGTAGCTAACTCAAGCGGCTGAGTGGAGTTTACATGTAAACAAATATTCTCTCGGGCTCGAGCCGCTTTTGCAAGGGCATCGGCACGGACATTTAGAACACATGGAATGTAAACTAAGGAACAAAATTGGAAGGAAACAAGAGTTGAACAGTACTCTTCTATTTCAGCGGCCAACGAGGGCCAATCATCTTCATCATCGAGCAATCTGACGAGCTCAAGACAGTCGGATTCAAAACGCATAGAGGAGAATCCAAGCTGTTTGACCATTTTCATTGCCCAAATGAGAGATCGAAACTCCGCTTGTAGAGGTATAGATACTTGTGAACTTGTGAGCCCACCTGTATGAGCTGCATCCTCGTCGGTATCTATGATAAAACCTCCTCCAAAGAAGCTACTGTTATACACCCATGATGCGTCTACCTGGCACCGGGGACGTATAACAAGTGTAGCTTCCGTAGGGGACTGATCAGCGGTTGTGTTGTTCTCAACTGGAGCTGGAGTAAGTTGTGCAGTCTTCCAGGCTTCTGTCTCAGCCATAGCAAAATGTAAGATATCCAATGGCCCAACATCTTTGTTATTGAATACCTTTTCATTACGAGCTTTCCACGAGCTTTCCATATGTACCACATAATCCAAGGGAAAGGCTCTAGGCTGGTTTCAGTAGCTCCCTTCTCTCTCGCTCGCCATAGGAGGTAGTCGAGATTGTAGAAAAGGGAGGGTCTCGGAAAAATCTCCGGAAGTTTTGGGATGCCAGATAGGTTCCATGTTTCCACGGCCGGAGGACATTCAAAGATCATGTGGTTGATGGTTTCTTCCTCCGTACCACACCTTGGGCACATCCGATCAATTCCACAATGTCTCTCGGCCAATCTGCTTCGAGTTGGGACGCATCCCGCCACAGTTTACCAAGCGAAATGTTTCAACTTGTGTGATGCCTTAATCGTCCATATCTTCGATTTTATGGCATCTGTACTTGGTTGTACGATTTGTTGTGGGGCAAGGAGATCTTTAAGTTGTACCGCTAATTCATAGCCCGTCTTCACAGAATATCTTCCGGTTTTAGAGTAAGTCCAGCAGAAGCCGTCTGGTCTCTGGAAACGGCTTGGGCGTATACTCAAAATAAGGTTTATATCTTCGATATCGAAGAGGTCTACCAGCTTGTCAAGTTTCCATTCTTTGGAGATGGGATCCATGAGTTGTGAGACAAATAGTAGTGGGTCCTGATACATACCCGAGTCCTTGGGAAGGCGGGGTTGTTCTGCTGGGATCCACTGATCTCTCCACACCAAAGTTGTGTCTCCAGTCCCAATAGTACGCCTCAGTCCTTTTTTGAGAAGGTCTTTTGCTGCAATAATACTTCTCCACCCGAAAGATGGTGCGTTGGACTTTTCAACCTCGAGTGGGGACGTATTTCTATAGTACCGACTCTTTAGGATCCTTGCCAAGAGGGAGGATGGATAATACAAGAGTCTCCATAGCTGCTTGGCTAGTAAAGCAAGGTTGAAGAGTTGTAGATCGCGAAAGCCTAGACTACCTCTTTCCATGGGGATGCAGATCTTATCCTAAGCTATCCAATGAAGTCCACGGCTGTTCTGTTTGTTGCTCCACCAAAAATTGGAAATAGCACTTTGGAGCTTTTTTATTATGTCTTGTGGAAGCAGGAAACAAGACATAACATATGTCGGTAATGCTTGAGCAACAGATTTTATAAGTACTTCCTTACCCCCTCTAGATAGTAACTTGGCCGACCAAGAGTTTACACGTTTGCTAAGTCTGTCTTGCACAAATGCAAAGACTTGTTTCTTTGATCCACTGATCTTCTCGGGTAAGCCTAGATAGGTTCCCATTCCTCCTTCCTTTGTAATACTAAGCGTTCTTTTGAGTTCAATTATGGTAGCTTGAGGAACTTTACTACCGAAGAATATAGACGACTTAGCCGTATTTAGTTGTTGGCCGGATGCTAATCCATAGCTTTTGATAATGTTTAACACCTCTGCACACTGCAGGACATCCGCTTTACAGAAAAACAAGCTGTCATCTGCAAAGAGAAGGTGAGAGATCGGTGGACATGTTCGTGCCACTTTTAGCCCTGTGATCCTTCCATCCGCTTCTGCTCCCTGTATTTGTGCAATGAGGACCTCGGTTAAAATAATGAACAAAAAGGGTGATAGTGGATCTCCTTGTCGTAGTCCGCGTGATGGTAAGATCTTGCCTTTGGCCTCTCCATTGATTAGAACTTGATAGGATACAGAGGAGATACAGAGCATAATCCAACGCACCCATGAGTTTGCAAAGCCTAGTTTAAGCATCAGAGCTTGTAAAAAACTCCACTCCACTCGATCATAAGCTTTGCTCATGTCTGTTTTAATAGCCACAAACTTGGCTTTGCACATTGAGTTGGTACGGAGAGCATGAAAAGCTTCTTGGGCAATAAGTATATTGTCTGTAATGAGCCGTCGAGCCACAAAGGCTGATTGGGTCTCTGATATGATTTTTGGGAGGTGTCTCTTCAAACGGTTACTGAGGATCTTCGAGATGATTTTGTAACTCACAGTGCAGAGGCTAATAGGCCGAAACTCTGTCATGTCCCGTGGTCTTTCCGTCTTTGGTATCAAACAAATGTTTGTCATGTTTAGTCGTGTATCAAGACTCTCCATTGAGAAGAAGTGTTTGACCATTGCGATGACATCTTTTGCAGTTACCTCCCAATACTTTTGGTAAAACAGACTTGTAATCCCATCAGGGTCAGGGGCTTTATCTGGATTCATTTCCTTTATTGCTTGATGTATCTCTTCATTCGACGGAGGCTTTGTTAAAAATTGGTTCATCTCGGGTGTAACCTTTTTTGGGACAAAGCGGAGGGCATCATCAAAGCTTTGTGGTTGGGAGGATGTGAACAGGTCCTGAAAATACTCAATAGCAGTTTGTTCGATGTGCTCCTGTTTTTCCGCCCACATGCCATTTGCTCTCTTGAGTCGTGTGATGCGGTTCCGAGCTCTTCTCATCTTTGTTGTGGCATGGAAAAACTTTGTATTGCTGTCACCTTTTTTAGCCAAGTAGAGCGACTCTTTTGTTTCCAGTAGAGTTCTTCATCCTTTAGAGCATCGCATAGCTTTGTTTTTAGTTCCATTACTTCCTCACTCGTAGTGAAGTCCTCCGTTTGGGCTCTCTCCAACTGTTCTTTTAAAAGAGCGGCTTGCTTGGCAGAGTTTGTCATATTTGTCTTCTTCCATCCCGAGATGGCTTGTCGACATGAGTTTATTTTGCTATGGAAATTCCCTTCATTAGTCGGTGTTGTATGGCCCCATCCAGCTACAACCGTATCTTTGAAGCCCTCTTTGCCAATCCATCTCTTGTCGAAACAAAAGCTCCGGTGTACTTTAGTCTTTTTCGTCTGAATTCTAGCCAAGACCGGTCGATGATCGGAACCCCAGAGTTTTAGGTACTCCACATTAGTGTGGGAAAAAATATGATGCCAGTCCTCATTACCAACTGCACGGTCTAAGCGGCACTAGACTTTTCCGGATGAACGATAACCCACCCACGACAAAGGATTACCTGTGAAGGAGAAGTCTATCATACCACAATCATCCAGCATACGACGAAACCCTAAGAAAGATGTTTCTGATCTCCTTCTTCCGCCCCGTTTTTTGTGGTTTCCAGTGATGTCGTTAAAGTCGCCAATCATGAACCAAGGACCTTGTCTTTGACTGCTAATCTCCAAGAGCTTGTCCCACACGCTACCACGTCTCTCTGTAACCGGATCTCCATATACAAATGTCATAAAGACTATCTCTCCTTCGATCACTGCAGTAATATCAATCATCCTATCCGAGGAGAATAAAATTGTAACAGAGAAAGAGTCAAAATAGTAAAGCGCTAGTCCACCGCTTCGCCCCTCTGGCTCCACGGTTAACAATTTGTCATAACCAAAAGCTGTCTTAAAATCATGCATAAAAGTCAAAGAGTTTTTTGTTTCAGAAAGGAAAAGAAAAGCAGGATGAAAACAACGGTGCAGATCCTTTAAGTGAAATTTTGTAAGATCCGCTCCTGCACCTTGGCAATTCCATGCTATTGCATTCATATATGCTTATTGGGTGGTTTCTGGGACACCACCGAACCGGAGAGAGTAGTAGTTTTCTTCCTTGTGGAAGACGGATACACCTCAGTTCGAGGGACGATGTGCGAAGTGGCCAACTTACTACCATATTTTCCTGTCGCTTGTTTCTTCTTCGGGGAAGGTTTGATCCAGAGAAGCTTTTTGGATGCGAGTGAGCCCTTTGTAGTAGGTTTCGTAGCGCTCCGAGCCTTTGTTGAGATTGGAGGCTTCTGCGTTTTGGGCTGAATTGCTTCCACTTCTCTGGCCCTAGTTGTGTTTACACCTGAAAATAATTGAGAGATAGCCTCTATCTGTTCTTCTCCTGGCTCAATCTCCTCGTCCAGAAGATCATCATTGTCAAACATTGTGTCATCCATCTCTGGATCTCTTATCTCATTCAACATCGCATCCATCTCTGCTTCCGTGTATTCACCATCTTCTGTCTCCATGTTATTCTCCTGGTGGCAAATTTCCTTTACATGATGTGTGACAGAAGCTATCTGTCGTGGGGAGGGATCACGAGCACTGTTAGCTGCCCCACTGGGGTTTCGATTTGCACTCGTGTCCTGCTCGTGGATAGATAAACTTCCCAACTTTCGTCCCAGAGCTAAATCTTTGAGTCGTTTCTCTTCTGCCCTTGAAGCATCTGATTCGATCGCTTTGCCTTTAAGCTTACGGATGCGGTCTTCCTCCGTCTCCTTTGGATAGACAACAAGTACACCCGCTCCCCGTCAACTAGTTTGACCCGCGTTGTCTCCCTTCACGGAGTGGGTGCGTTGGGAGTCCATTGGTGTAGTCAAACCAGCTCTGTTGTGGTCTGAAAACCGGGAGGTTGGAGTCTCCGTTTGGGTTGTATCATCCTTGTTGTAGCTAGTCCTTGGTCTTCATATTTGGTGGGAATTATATCTCGTATTATACGAATCTCTATTGCCGTTGTGAGCACGTTGGTAGGGGAGGTATCATTCACGATTAGCAGGCCCTCTCGTGTCAGAGGTCCTCGCAACACGGTTCCACACATCTTTCCCCCTGACATCTCTCTGTTCTTTGAGCTTCAGCCGTAGGTCTCTCTCTTGGCTGACCTCGCGTTTTCTTTCCGGCATATAGCGAGTATCATGTGTCACACGAGATGGGGAGTAGCGACCTCGCGAGTTTTTATAAAAGTCACCACCTCCAGTACGTACAGAGGGGCCTTTCCTCGCATTGTACTGGTCCTCACGACGGCCGTACTGTGGTCCTCCACCGTATCCTCGAGGCAGGGGAGCTTGTTCCTGATTTAGCTCAATCCGGCGGAGTCTATTCTGCTCTCGCTGGTCTTCAGATAGATTCGGACAGGTTCCTTTTTCGTGGGATAAAAGTTTACATGTAAAGCAGAATCGATGTAGACCAACATATTCCAGCTTTGCTATACCTGTATCTCCATTTGGGAAACCCACTTTCTTTTCAAATTGTAGTGGCTCGTCAGCATTGACGGAAACTTGAAATTTTGCTCGATGAGCTTCAATAGTCTGGACGACACCGAGCGCTTTTCCGATTTTTTGAAAGTCTCATTGTTCCAGAAATGGATAGGGATGCCGGTGACTTTGACCCAGAACACCATGGTATTAGGATAGGATTGACTAGTAAACGGTGTCTATCTTTCTAGTGAGAAGCTCCACCTATTGTAATGCCATGGGCGCTTCCTCAAAACTTTTGCCATGTCCTCCTCATTATCAAAATCAAACAGGAACTGCCCATTCCACAGGCTTGTACCCCGAGCTCTTCCTTCTACGTCCCAGATCTTCGGTTTAGGGAGCATTCCCAGCACTGCCTCCATGTTTCGTCCCTCTTTATGGAACATTCTACCAATCACAGTTAACTTAAATTTCTCTGCAGCCGATGTCATATCGCACGCAGGAAGCTTGATGATCTCTTCTTCCAAATCCAGGCTGCGTCGAACTTGACCAGAGGAGCCACCATGTCGCATCATTCGGTTTGTGTTACTCATCTCTAGGCAAAGGACAATACTCAACAAGACGGGATTCTTTGAAAGTGTGGTAAGCAAGACAAGCCAATCACCCCAACTAAACTAACCAAAGCAGATCTGTTCTAGGTTCCGGTTGTACTTTCAAAAACACCCAGAGAATTCCGTTAGATTCACTCACCGTACTGGGATGAAACCACACAGGCCTTAGCACACAGCTAGATTGTATACACCACCTACTTAGCAAAACGCTAGAAAAACTTCGATCTCTAGAACCACAAACTGAGAGCGTAGAGAAGCATTTATACCTTTCTCACGCGAGTAGAAACTTCACGCCAGATCTGTGTATAGAGGCTCCGGTCGTCTTTTTGCGGTACAGAGATCTAGGTATGAGAATCGCCCTTGGGATCGCCAAAAACCCTAGCCACTCTCATTTTTCGCTTTAACATCTTTTTTTATTGTTCTCCGACTAAGAATTCTAAATCACAATTTTCTCTTGACGTCTAAACAATGTATAGTTTAAGTCAGTGTCGGATCTACGTTGATGGTGGTGGGGCAAGTGCCCAATACTGACTATATAAACTTTCCAAGTATAAGTTGGTTACTGAATTAGTTGACACTTCTCTAGGGACAGAGTTCGATTCCTACCATGAGAAGATTTTCTATTTCTCTTTATTTATTTATTTTTCCTTATGTCATATTTTTTTTTTTAACAATTTATGCGATACTTTGTTTTATTTTCTATTAGTGTCCTATACACATATTTCTTCTAGATCCGTCCCTGGTTTAAGTAATATTAATAGATAATAATGAAATTAATTTATTGAAACTATTTTTTTTTCCTTAAAAATTGATCATGGTCAATCATCAAGAAATTGTAATCTAAGGTCAGAAAATTATAGGAATTGTAGTGGCCATACGATTATAATGGATGTAATCCGTTTACGTACAAAATTACAAATGCATATTTACAGTACGTACTACGTAGGCGCATACGTGTAACGTGTAGTATTGTCTTTTCTCCGACGTGGTTAAAAAGTACCGACGTGTTCACTTGCGTATAGAGTTAAAAATATAGCATCTTAATCCATACAATAAATTTTGGACCCATTTGATAATACTATGAACCGTATCATCTAGCCATTCGTGAATGAAGATTAAAGTTACGTATGTATTGTTTTACGCGTATTTGGGTGTCGGTGTATGTGTTATATACAGTCAAAGTTGACTTTAGAGTTTGGGTCTTTGGGAGATATCATGTAACATGGTGATTCACTAGTTTCTATGTTGGTGATAGTTATGTCACACATCTATTTTATGATATCGATAGAAGACTAGAAGTTGTTTAAACGTTAGAGTGTCAAAGAGGATAATGCAATTGTTCATGTGAGAAACAATTTGGCCGAAAAAATAAAATAAAATAAAATAATAAATTAATAACAAAATGAAATTAACGACCACGTTGACAAGTTTGTTAATAGTTGACTCTAGGCCTGGGCATAAAAACCGACTCGAAGGACCCGATCCGGAACCGACCCGAAAAAAATAGATCCGAACCGAAGTGGAATAGACATAAATATCCGAACGGATCCTAAGCTCCTATACCCGAAAGAACCGGATCCGAACCGGTACCGATCCGAAAACCGAATGGGTACCCGAATATCCAAAATATAGTTATATTCTAAAAATGTTTAGTTATGTTTAGTCTTAAAATAACTAAAATATTTAAAATTACAATTATTAACCAAATATATTGGTTATATTTAGCACAAAATAACCAAAATCTAATATATTGGAATATATTTGATTATATTTTGTAATATTTGATATGTTTTATAAAATTTAACTCAATTTTATTTAAATTAAATTTTTTTTTATTTTTATTTTATCTTTTATAGCTAAAGTTTGGGTACCCAGAACCGACCCGGACCCGAATCCGAACCGACTATGACACGGTTCCTATATGGATAAAAAACTTTTATATCCGTAAGACCCGGAACCGAAAGAACCGACCCGGAATCGATCCGAATACCCATTATGCCCAGGCCTAGTTGACTCCCTTTTTGATGGGAACGTCCCAGAGCTCGAGATGCTTCATGTGATTGTGGTGTGTTATGCGCATGTACAATTTCGAAAAAATAAATCGGTGAAATAGTTATAATACTATAACTTCTTTTGTAATTACGTATTTGTATGTATGTATATGTGTCACTGTTTTACGTGTTCTTTTGCGGGATGTGGACAGAGTAGATTTATCTGACTCTTCAGTCATCACTCATGGAATACGTAAATATACAAAAATGTATCTTAAGACATATAAACACGTAAACCTAAAACTGGGGGATGATATTTTAACTTAAATCAAACCAAGTCAAACTGAGCATGCATCAAAATTCAAAACTAAATTAAGTTAAACAAAATTTCAAAATTAAGATAAATCAAAGCAAAATCAAATGTTATGATATTTTTTTCGTTCTAAATTCGGATATCTATTTGATTGTAAACTTTAGTGCCTATTTTGAATGTAGACAAAATACAGATAAACCCTATCATACAAGTGCTGACCTCATAAAGGCACATCAACAGTGTTTTGTGGGTCTGCGACCAATCATATATGTGTAGTATATTTTTCCTCTTATCATCGTTATATATTTTATCTTTGATAGGTCTTTCTCTTGAAAAAATATATATATTAGAGGGTTGAGAGAAATGTATTTGTCTTTTGGGGTATATATCGGATAAAACTGGAACAATATACATACAGACAGAAATATATATTCTCTCCGTTTTAAATAGGTGGTCATTTTAGGAAGATATATTTACAATTATTTGTATGTATTAAAATCAAAATATATCCATATACATCCAGATAATTGCAGATACATTTTCACAAAACAACAACTAATTTAAAATGGATGGAGTATTAAAACTATATTGCAATTTAGTGTTACTAAATTTTGCTTATTGGTAACGTTCATTATTTTATTGAGCTAACTAATTTGTTTATGGATAAAGATATACCTCAAATCGAAAAAAGTAGTTTGTTGAATCACATCAAGTTACAAAAAGTGAGAAGTTTGTTCGACGACTTCATTTCCTTATATACAATACGTATGGTTTGCTATTAACTAAAATTTCTGTTTTCTTACAAAGGAGATGTTTGGTCCAATGTTAAACTAGCTTTAGACCAAATAAGAACGCAACGGAAATAGTAAATATCATTAGAAAAAGACATTAGAACTCCGCTCTATCACTACTAAATACTAATCATATATATAAATTGAGGCCAACTTCTCCATATGATTGACATGTGGCAAAACTTTTAAAGAGAGCAGTCTCTTCGCATTCTTAGTCGTTACAGTTATAATAGGTTTCAAAACCGTCAGTTGTTTCACCTTCCACGTTGTATCAACACTCCATCAATTGATATTGTGGCATGACTTTTCCTCTTCTTTCCAGTCAATAACTCTAAATCTTATACATTTCAACTTATAATAATAAAAATCACTCTATTAATCAAAGACTTTTACATTTTGGCTTCCATCTTAAGTTATTATTAAACATCTAAATTATCCTAATATATGGAGAAATGGATTTAGCAAAAATCGATGGCGGAAAATCAGAGTCCGTTCTATGTGGTCGTGAGTAAACAAAGAGAGTTAATGGTTCATAGACATGTGGTATGATAGAAAAATATATGTTTGAAAGTCAGTCGCTAACCAACAAATAGGAATTAAATATGGATATTATTGGATTATACTTTATAATATTAGTCGCAAATCTAAAATAGTTTTCGAGCATTTTTTTAAAACTTTAACAACAACAAAACAGTCTAGTATAAAATATGGTTTGTTCACAGTTCTTGTAACGTTAAACAGAGAATAGCCACGTAGTCTTAAGCTCTGGTCAACGACATGGAATAGACTCTTTCCACCTTTATTTTCTTCCTTATATATAGTCGATTTAGTGGCATATTGAATGATGTCATAATACTAAGTCTAATACATGCTTCGATAGGTTCACTCGATGGGATAACGATGATTCCCAATGAACACTGTTGCTTTGAGTAGATATATGACTATCTTGTAAACTTTTACTTGTAATCTTATCACGCACCAACGTCAAGGTTACTTTTGTTTATATAAATCTTTATTCGATTAGAGTCAATATATATACGAAACTACCAATGAACAATGACCGTGTAGATTGTGTTACACGAACAATAATTATTAAATTCCAAAACTCACTAGGTCTTATAGTCTGACCCGACTCCCTCGAAATGATTAGTTTCCAAACATATTAGTCACAATCAGTTTCAAGTTTGAATTAACGCAATTGCTATTAAATCTTACCTATTGATCTCATCTAATATCTTAGAGATTGGCAAATTAATCCGCATACATCCTAGCATTTTAGTGGGCATGAAACACAATATTGTTGAGTAGAATTCGAAGAGAAACTTCATAACTGAAATTGTTAAGAAATTACTCAAAATCGAAAACGATGGGACAAGAAGTTTCTTGTATTGATGGAAATTAGGTCAAAATTTAAAATGTCGACACCACTCAATATTCATTACAATTGGATAAGAAGTTTTTTCGCATTGATGGAATTTAGGTTTTAAATTTCAAAACGTTAAGGCGTCACTCAAAATCTAAGACAACTGGACAAAAGCTCCAGACAGTTGTTGAAAATTAAGGAAATTAAATGGAGAAAAAGGAAAGAAGAGAGAAGCCAGCTAGGGTTTGGTCCATGCATGAGCAGTGAAAAGAGTACGTGGAAGGACCACGGGATGTTATGGACTTGCTATGGTAGGAGTTAATTACGACATACCTCGACTTAAGAACTCAAGACTGGTATATTTTGTACTTTGCTCTTTGGAATTTGAGCCGTGCCTTATTTGTGATTGTTCTCGAACCAACAAACCTGCCTAATTTAGGATTTATTCAAATTAATCTGAAGACATACATAAACGTTTTGTTTTGAAGGTTTTGTTTATGGCATTT